TATCTGTGTTGTATTGCATTATATTTCTAAGTTTACTATGTTTGTTTTTTCTAATTCACTCTTACCTGATGATGGTTGCTTGTGTTGCAATCGAAACTTCGTATTCTATTATTATTTCATTTCATTTTCTACGTGACTTTACCGAAAGAACCAAAGAGGGGAGTTGTAAAATACCTTCAAACACCAAATAGATGCCGTTGACAAGGCATCAAGTCTGCATTAACAACACAAGCTTGTGCCAAACACGAAAACAAACACGCTCTGATCATGTATGCATTGTTTTTTAAACGGATTGACCTACAACAGAGACAGCTTTCTTTACGGCCTTGCCTCACCACCGCTATTACACCAAAGAACGCCAAAAGGCGAACAGCACACAGACAATGCACGTCTCAAAACACTCCCAGCTCAGACCGAGCACTTACATCGACGGGACCTTTTTTTGCCAGCATCCAAAATGATACGCGTGTGTGTGTGCGTACGTTGGATTTCTTTCGCATCGTACGTAGTCAACCGTGCTAATCGGAGTTGATGGGGGAGGGTGGTGAGGGGGAGGGGTTCTTGCGTTGCTGCGATGCTCCTTGCTGCCACTCTGGGATCTCGGCGGCTGCGGCGACCTCCAAAGTTTGTTCGCAATCGAGAGGCGGACACGTGCGCGCTCTTCCGCGCGCGTTCATTCTACCGACGCGCCTACGCCTTCATCCCGTCGCGTCCTTCGAGGGCATCTCCGAGTCGCCCTCTCCAACGCGCCTCTGTCCGGGGCACCAACACACCGCTTCCTCCTTGGCGACGCGAAACCACGGAGAGTTAATTTATACATGTTCTTGGGGTTTTTTCTGTAAAGTTGCGTAGGTAAAAAATTAAAATTAATAAAAGTAAAATAAAATAAAAATCACGACGTTTCGGAGGCAACACAAGCTTCCGTCTTCCGAAACGTCGTGATTTTTATTTTATTTTCATTTTACTTTTATTAATTTTAATGAAAAAAATTTACCTACGTGACTTTACCGAAAAACCCCAAGAATATGAATCAGTGCAGTCACGAAACCTTCAAATCTAGAATTTATTTATACATGTTTGTGATTTTTTTTGTTTAGTTGGCCACTTTAAGATTGCCATGACATTGCCCAACATGTCAAACGCCCGCACCCATTTCCATTGTGCAAAACCCCTGCCGTGAGGCAGAACAGTGTTTAAGATGAATTACATTCAAATAAAATCTGGCCAGGTCTCGCTACCGCCCAGAAAGGGCATCTCCGCACCCCCAGGGGCTGCGTGATGCACCCCCAGGTTAAGAAGAAGAACCACTGTTCTCCAGTAATTTGCATTGTGTGTGGGCTCTTTACACACTCGGAGATCGCATATATTTTACACACACGTGATTTACGTGAACGTTTTGACACAGTTTACAGTTTGTACACGGCACATATGTTCCGTACGTTTTAGCTTGACAATACTCACAGCTACACTCACACGTACACACATATTCTCGTGCACTTTTAACGTAAAAGACAGCACAGTCTAAAGTGCGTTCACTACGCATAGTACTTACACTATATACACATTCATGTACACGTTTGTATTCTGTACATTATATAATAAATAGTACACTTTACATACATACGCACACGTACAATGCTTAGTTTATACACCACACTACCTTTGCTCATACCTCACATACAGTGATGGAAAAAAGTATTTGATCCCCTGCTGATTTTGTACGTTTGCCCACTGACAAAGAAATTATCTGTCTATAATTTTAATGGTAGGTTTATTTGAACAGTGAGAGACAGAATAACAACAACAAAATCCAGAAAAACGCACGTCAAAAATGTTATAAATTGTTTTGCATTTTAATGAGGGAAATAAGTATTTGACCCCCTCTCAATCAGAAAGATTTCTGGCTCCCATGTGTCTTTTATACAGATAACGAGCTGAGATTAGGAGCACACTCTTAAAGGGAGTGCTCCTAATCTCAGTATGTTACGTGTATAAAATACACCTGTTCACAGAAGCAATCAATCAATCAGATTCCAAACTCTCCACCATGGCCAAGACCAAAGAGCTCTCCAAGGTTGTCAGGGACAAGATTGTAGACCTACACAAGGCTGGAATGGGCTACAAGACCATCGCCAAGCAGCTTGGTGAGAAGGTGACAACAGTTGGTGTGATTATTCGCAAATGGAAGAAACACACAATAACTGTCAATCTCCCTCGGCCTGGGGCTCCATGCAAGATCTCACCTCGTGGAGTTGCAATGATCATGAGAACGGTGAGGAATCAGCCCAGAACTACACGGGAGGATTTTGTCAATGATCTCAAGGCAGCTGGGACCATAGTCACCAATAAAACAGTTGGTAACACACTACGCCGTGAAGGACTGAAATCCTGCAGCGCCCGCAAGGTCCCCCTGCTCAAGAAAGAACATATACATGCCCGTCTGAAGTTTGCCAATGAACATCTGAATGATTCAGAGGACAACTGGGTGAAAGTGTTGTGGTCAGATGAGACCAAAATGGAGCTATTTGGCATCTGGGGTCGTACCACTGGCTTGCTCTGCCCGGCTCTTAGAAGGACAGCGGGTCAGAGGAGTCCCAGGGTCTATCTAGCATGGACTTGAGTCTTCAGCTGGTTCGTCGTTTTCGGCTTGATCGAACTGCCCCTCTGCTCTCATTATACAATTCCCCACCGAGGGGCGGGGTTCTGTGGGATCACACACACCCCACAGCCCCCTCCCCTCAGGAGGGGCTCTGGTCATGGGTAACACAACCGCCCCGCACCGGTAAGTACTGTGATTCACCCGAGTTTGGTGTGCGCGCGTTCCAGCATCACCACCATACATACATATATAGACATTGACTTGCTTAATATAACATTTCATAAATTTACGCACAAGCTTATCTACACACTCACATATACTTTACACAAGTATACACATACTTAGAGCACAGTAAACGGTTGTGTGCGAATGTGACGTTAAAGCCGGTGTGTATGTAGAACTTCTTTCGCACAGTACGTTGCCAACTGTGCTAATCGGAGGTGCATGATGATGATGAAAGGGTGGTGATGATAATGAGAGGTTGGTGAAGATGATGATGATGATGATGAGAGAGTGGTGGTGATGATAAGAGGGTGGTTATTATGATGATAAGGTGATGATTATAGGATGCTGATAATGAGAGGGTAGTGGTGATAATGATGAGAGAGGGTGGTGATGATGATCATAATGAGAGGGTGGTGGTAGTGATGATAATGAGAGGGTGGTGATGATGATGATGATAAGGTGATGGTGATAAGATGGTGATAATGAGAGGATGGTGATGAGAGAGGGTGGTGAAGATGATCATAATGAGAGGGTGGTGGTAGTGATGATAATGAGAGGGTGGTGATGATGATGATAATGAGAGGGTGGTGATGATGATGATAATGAGAGGGTGGTGATGATGATAAGGTGATGATAATGACACGGTGATGATGATGATGATAGGATGGTGATAATGAGAGGGTGGTGATGATGATGAGAGAGGGTAGTGATAGTAGACATTGGTTCTACGGTAAACCCTCGTTTAACGCGTGTTCACACAAGGGGCGTCCATAAATGACGTCACGCACCTGGGGAGGGGTCATACATTTGTGACGATGTGTGACAAGGGGGGGGGGGGTTGAGAAATGTGACGTCACGTCAAAATGCGCAACTTTAAATGTTAGTTTTTCAGTTTCATTTATTTTGAATAACCCTGTGAGCCATTCGGCTCTTGACTCGGGTGCAACCGCAACAAACAATACAATTAAACGTTCTACTTAATTAAATAGACTTTTTAATAAAAACAATTATCCTACAACATCAGAGTGCAGCGGCACATTAAATACATACTACAATGACAATAGTTTAAAGCGATTTGAAGCATGTTTTATTTTGGGGGGGGGGGTAAGGGGGCAAAGCTTTGTGACGTCATATTTGAGGGGGGGTCTGACTTTTTGTGGCGCCGTGTGACGATAGGGGGGGGGGGGTCAAAAATCGTCCAAAATCTCGTGACGTCATTTATGGACGGCCCCCAACACGTGTTCGCTCGAACGCGGCTCTTCCATTCAGGAAAACACATTTCGCGAACACGGCCGCCCCCATGAAACAGACGATTGCCGTGATTGTTTGCGCGATGTAATTGAGTCATCACCGCAGCTGCCGCGACTTCCACGGGCATTCGAATCGCGATCTCTGAACAATGGGAATCTGCGGGCTAGTCCACGTGTGACAATTACCGTACTAACTTTGGAGCTTTCGTGACTGCAGGAAGAACCAAATAATAATTACCGTATTCTCTGGATTATACGACGCACCTGCCCACCTCCCCATTAACCCCCCTTCCTCACCCCTGTAATATTAAACAACAGTTGGGGGTACGTCTAATAATACGGCAGGTGTGTGTGAGAGAAAGACATCAGATTTGTCTAACTTAATTCACACCGGGCGCAAGTTTTCGGGTGCGTGGGCCCTTAACGTTCAGTTGCCTTCTCATACGCCACACAATACGGTAACGCATCTGCATCTCTCATCACCATCACCACCAACCCGGTCCACTCGCTAATGAACGGCACGGCGAATACGAAAGCCACGCGAACTCTCGCCCACAGCTGCCGTTGTGTCTGGGCTTAAGTGTCCCAAATTGGTTAATTGCCGATTTAACTAAGTGGTAGGTGCCATAATTGCCCACGTGAGAATCTCACCCCCTTCCCTCCCCAAGCGCAGCACCTCGCGAGAGAGCTGCGGGTTTTTTTTTGGTGGCGAGAAACCTTCGACCGGGAGGGCCCCGTTGCTCGTTGTCGATACGCGCGCCGTGTGTGCAGTCGATCAGGTGGCATAAACCGTCCGTCCCGCCCCCCCTCCGTCTCTTCTGCCTGTAAAAATAAAAAACCCTCATCGCTTTCATTTCAGCCGCCGTTTCCAGGATTTGTTTTGGCACTTCCCACAGCAGCAGTCGTCTCATCTCGCTTGACGAACGAAAAAAACCGCAACCCCTACGCTGACGAGAACGGTGAGCCCCGCGCATCTCGTTGTTGATCGATCGATGTAAACGTCTTCATAGGGCTATAACGAAACTAAACTATTTTTTTTTTCGATTTAAAGCTTTCGTGACTGCAGGGATTCATCTTATTGGTTATTTTGGTAAAGTCACGTAGAATGGAAATAATATAATAATAAAATAAAACATAATAAGATAATTCTCACGACGTTTCATTCAGACGCTGTCTCCCCGACAGACCAGAATGGAAATAATATAATAATAAAATAAAACATAATAAGATAATTCTCACGACGTTTCATTCAGACGCTGTCTCCCCGACAGACCTGGTCTTCACCTGAGGACGGCTGCTTGCGTTGTGGCCGAAACGTCGTGAGAATTATCTTATTATGTTTTATTTTATTATTTTATTATTTCCATTCTACGTGACTTTACCGAAAGAACCAAGAAGATAAACTATTTTTGTTTACCCTGCACGTAAGGCCCCACTAAGCTACGTAGCTCTCTTTTTTTTGTTCGGAAGCCACGTGGCTGTCGCGAATGGTAGCTCAACCACGTGGACGTTTTGTAAGAGCCACATTTTTAAACGAATGTTGATTCGAAATGTGGAGGGGGGGAGGGGGAACCGGAGGAACCGAATAAAAATCTGCGCGACCACGGGGATAGACACGCAAACTCCAAACGTACAGCAGCAGGCGTCATGGTCGGGATCGAACCCACGATGTCCTGCATACCAGGCGAGGTAGTCAACATCTCCTAGCCACCGTGACGAACTTCAGAAATGAAGGGCACGCTAATTGAATATTGAGGCTGGGAGCGACCTTGTACTCTAGTGGTAGTGCCTTACGCCGACATTCCGTAAAATCTCGAGTGAGATGTGAAGCCCTGCCCGTGATGTCCACCGCGTGTGGAGTCTGGCGAGATGCCGTAACGAGCGCGGTGTGGATTTGGACTTCCATGGAAGAGGTGGGGGGGGGGGTCACGTTGCGTGTCATGCGGGTGAGTGGGTCAGGGGGTTCGTTCCTGGCCTCTCCACACGTGGAGACACTCGAAGCCACGGCGCAACCAGTTACGCGTTTCAGGTTTGACCGGTTCGGCAATGGAGAAGCTCGCCTCTAGAAAACCCCGTGTATGGATCGGACTTTAATGTCCCGGTTACTAATTTGTTTGCCCAGTTAAACACTTTCGTTTTGTCCCCTCCCCCCCCCTCCTTGTATTTGTTCGTAAAAGAATGTAGCCGTGAATTCTAGATTTGAAGTTTTCGTGACTGAAAGGATCCATACTCTTGGTTCTTTCGGTAAAGTCACGTAGGTGAAAAATAATAATAATAAAAATTAAATAATAATAAAAAGATGTATTAATTTTCATTTTTAGTTCATTTTATTTTTATTATTTTATTATGTTATTTTACTTATTTTATTTTCACCTACGTGACTTTTCCGAAAGAACCAAAGAGAATGTAGCCGTGCTTTGTCTCGGTTTGTTTTTATGCCTGTCACGTGCGCAGCAACGAGCGCTACCGGCGGCAATGTTTGCTGTTTGCATCGCGACCGCTGCCACCGCTGATTGAATCTCGGATCCGGACCGCTGCGGTGTTAAACATCTATTGCAACAGAAGCATTTGGCGCAGGCCAGTAAGCAAACTTTCTTTTTTAGCAACAAGCATTGTGCAACAGCTCTCGGCCTTATCCAGACCACGATACTCAAAAGAACTGTTGGCGCTTTGCTTTTGCTCAACCCCGTGGCTTAATGTCAGCCGGGAACCGTCCTGGAATGCTGTCATCGAGTTGTCCGGATTGCATGACGGACATGAACATCGAGTGGGTTTACACCATTGGAACCTCATTTGCCAGTAACAAAATATAATAGTTTTTTACCCTTTTATCTGGCAACAAAACTGACACCTTTTTTTACAAGGAGTCATGTTTGCATTGACCACAATACCTGCAGTCGGAATGCATTCCGACTGCAGGTATTGTGGTCAATGCATTCCGACTGCAGGTATTGTGGTCAATGCAACCATGACTCCTTGTAAAAAAAGGTCAGTTTTGTTGCCAGATAAAAGGGTTAAAAAAAACAATAATCGAGCGGATTGTTGTTAATCCATGTTGTTGAACGTCGTTCGAAAACCCGTACGCAAGCCATCCGCGTCAATCGTAGAGGTTCGACTACGGGTACAGATGATGACTCTCCCCTCCCTCCCGTCATCGCGGTGGACGGGGAGACCGCAGAGAACCACATCGAGTTTGAAAGCCCCCCCCCCCTCCCCGTGTGAATCAACCGCAGCACGAATGTCAAGGCTCTGTGCTACACGGGGACGGTATTGCAATCTCTCTCCTTATTATTCGCGCTCTTCAAAATTCAAAAACAGAGCCGTCGCTCACACTGCAAGTCCGACGAAGAAGCATTAGGGCTACCGCCATTATCGGGTGGCCGATGTTCTCAATGTAGGGTCGCCAGAGCTTGGGCAATCGTTAAAATCGTGGGTTCTGGCGGGCTGCACAAAACACTCGTCTGCGGGTTTTATCCGCCACCTCCGTGCCAAAAATCCTGAGCGCGTTACAAAGCCGACGGTCGCTACGATACACAAGTCACTCGTTATCGTCTTGTTGTTGTTATTGTTGTTGCCACCCGATTTGTTTAGCCCGCACAGCACCGCAGGAGACACCCTGCCCCGCTCCCTCAGCGGGGTGAGTCTGGCGAGGGTGGTGAGCCCCGCTGTGCCCGCGCGATGCCCAGCCTCGGCTGCTATCCTGCCGGGAGAGGAGACGTGCAGCTGCAACCGCAGCAGCTGCAGCAGCAGGGTCGGGAGATGACTGCGGCGACTGCGGCGGCGATGAAGATGCTGGTGGCGCCCGCGCACCCGGCCACCTCCTGCTGCTCGTGCAGGAACGCGGCCGTGTTCCACACGATCAACGCGCTGCTCGACAACAACCTGGACCTGAGCGGCTTGTGTGCGACCGCCACCCACCCACAGACTTCCACCCACTCATCTACTCATCCACCCATCCACTCATCCACTCACCCACTCACCCACATACTTCCACCCACTCACCCACAGACTTCCATCCACTCGCCCACCCATCCACTCGCCCACCCATCCACTCGCCCACCCATCCACTCGCCCACCCATCCACTCGCCCACCCATCCACTCGCCCACCCATCCACTCGCCCACCCATCCACTCGCCCACCCATCCACTCGCCCACCCATCCACTCACCCACTCATCCACTCATCCACTCACCCACTCGACCACCCACTCACCCACCCACTCACCCACAGACCGCCACCCACAGACTACCATTTATTTAGAAGTGTCTTTTTGCGCTCAGTTGTCTAACGTACATAGCCAACCAATTAGCGCGGCTGGCTACGTACGGTGCGAAAGAAGCTCTACACCCCCCCCCCCTCTCCACAGACCACCCGCCACCACTACAGCACCCACCCCCACTGAGTAGCGGCATGCGGTGTGTGTGTGGGTAGCGGCATGCGGTGTGTGTGTGGGTAGCGGCATGCGGTGTGTGTGTGTGGGTAGCGGCATGCGGTGTGTGTGTGTGGGTAGCGGCATGCGGTGTGTGTGTGTGGGTAGCGGCATGCGGTGTGTGTGTGTGGGTAGCGGCATGCGGTGTGTGTGTTGGGTAGCGGCATGCGGTGTGTGTGTGTGGGTAGCGGCATGCGGTGTGTGTGTGTGGGTAGCGGCATGCGGTGTGTGTGTGTGGGTAGCGGCATGCGGTGTGTGTGTGTGGGTAGCGGCATGCGGTGTGTGTGTGTGGGTAGCGGCATGCGGTGTGTGTGTGTGGGTAGCGGCATGCGGTGTGTGTGTGTGGGTAGCGGCATGCGGTGTGTGTGTGTGGGTAGCGGCATGCGGTGTGTGTGTGGGGTAGCGGCATGCGGTGTGTGTGTGTGGGTAGCGGCATGCGGTGTGTGTGTGTGGGTAGCGGCATGCGGTGTGTGTGTGTGGGTAGCGGCATGCGGTGTGTGTGTGTGTGGGTAGCGGCATGCGGTGTGTGTGTGTGTGGGTAGCGGCATGCGGTGTGTGTGTGTGGGGGTAGCGGCATGCGGTGTGTGTGTGTGTGGGTAGCGGCATGCGGTGTGTGTGTGTGGGGGTAGCGGCATGCGGTGTGTGTGTGGGTAGCGGCATGCGGTGTGTGTGTGGGTAGCGGCATGCGGTGTGTGTGTGTGGGTAGCGGCATGCGGTGTGTGTGTGTGGGTAGCGGCATGCGGTGTGTGTGTGTGGGTAGCGGCATGCGGTGTGTGTGTGGGTAGCGGCATGCGGTGTGTGTGTGTGGGTAGCGGCATGCGGTGTGTGTGTGTGGGTAGCGGCATGCGGTGTGTGTGTGTGGGTAGCGGCATGCGGTGTGTGTGTGGGTAGCGGCATGCGGTGTGTGTGTGGGTAGCGGCATGCGTGTGGTGTGTTGGGTAGCGGCATGCGGTGTGTGTGTGGGTAGCGGCATGCGGTGTGTGTGTGTGGGTAGCGGCATGCGGTGTGTGTGTGGGTAGCGGCATGCGGTGTGTGTGTGTGGGTAGCGGCATGCGGTGTGTGTGGTGGGTAGCGGCATGCGGTGTGTGTGTGTGGGTAGCGGCATGCGGTGTGTGTGTGGGTAGCGGCATGCGGTGTGTGTGTGTGGGTAGCGGCATGCGGGTGTGTGTGTGGGTAGCGGCATGCGGTGTGTGTGTGTGTGGGTAGCGGCATGCGGTGTGTGTGTGTGGGTAGCGGCATGCGGTGTGTGTGTGTGGGTAGCGGCATGCGGTGTGTGTGTGTGTGGGTAGCGGCATGCGGTGTGTGTGTGTGTGGGTAGCGGCATGCGGTGTGTGTGTGTGGGTAGCGGCATGCGGTGTGTGTGTCCGGGTGGTTGGGTAAGGCCCCAGGGTGTACACACACGCGCCGTGTACCTCCTCGCTGGCTCCCCTCCACCACGATCCCCGTGCTCTGTGTATGTTGAACTTCTTTTGCACCGTACGTAGCCAACCGTGCTAATCGGAGGTGCGGGAGGGGGTGGGGGGGACAACACACTAAACACGAAAAGTAGTTGTAAAGATTCGTTTTCAATGTAAGATTTAAAAGTGGATGGCTCCATTGGTTTCCTCATATCGGAAGGAAGAGCGTTCCAGACGGCCGCAGAAGCGCATCTGAAAGTGCGCGCGATGCGGTGACCGTCTCTTCGTTCGACGGCCATCCAAATATCCGCTGCTTGCAGGGAATGACGAGACTTCGCATGAATGTTTACGCTTCTTACCACAAGAGGGTTGTCTGGTTCATTTGTGTGGCAAGCACTTTGTGCATAGAACGTGACCTTTTATAAATGCGTTCGTTGGGGAAGCCGATTGCCAACGTCGCAGCGCGCGCTCTGTCCGACGCAGGTCGATGCACGCCAGCCGAGTGCCCGGCGGCTCCGTGCGAGGGCTCCGCGCCTTCGCCGCAACCGTGCCCGGCCACGGCGTGCCAGCAGGCCTCTGCCGACTGCGCGAAGAAACCGCAGCGGAGGCAACAGCAACAGCAGCAGCAACGGGAAGACACGGACGAGGGCGAAGGGAACGCCGTCATCGCCGCGCGGAAGATCGATTCTGCCCAGCGCGACGGTGGCGACGCGGCGGCCGACGGGAACGGGAAGGAGGTCCGAGGTGCATCGACTGTCGACGTGGAGCTCCTCCGTTTCGCCATTTCGGAATTCCTCGGTAGCGGCGGCAGCACGCAGCGGAAGGTCGCGGGGGATACGGGTGGTGACGTCGACGTGGCCGCGTTGGTGCCGCACTGCAAAGTGACGGTGAGGGCTTTTGAGGGTTTCATTTGTGGCGTGTGGTTTTTCATCATTCGTTAACCCCAAAGAACAGGAGTCCGAGTGTGGGGGGGGGGGTGGTCGTATTCCACGTGTGCGCGAGATACTCGGTGAAGCCACAACCCCTTCCACTGAGTCATTCTCCCCCAAGTGGGAGCCCCGATTTTTAAGTTGCACGTGTTGAAACCCTGCAAGGGTAGAGGGGTAACGGTCGGAAGCAGTGGGGGTTAACTAGGGAAGGGAGAGAAAGGGGGGGGGAGGCGTTGGGGGGGTGGGGGGTATAACCGAACGAAATAAAAATAACATGAACGCGATGTTAGGATTAGCCAGTTTTTAAATCCTTTATATTAAGTTCACTTGCTTGCGCGCTTACGACCGTGCACATCTTTCGGTCGTTTTTTAACCCACTTCCCGTGACCCAATCGAGCTGACATTTTGCACACAGACTCGTTGTGCGTGACAATTTATTTTCATATTTAATTTAAAATACCATTGTGATAAAAATGAAACTCTTACTCAAGAAAAACAGAAATGAATAATCAAATAAAACCGATGCCACGCATATAAAGGATTTATAGTAAAAAACTTTGTTTTTACGGGTTAATTTTTTATATACCCCTTTTCATTTCTCCCCCCCCCCCCCCGCGGGAGAGATACAATGTTTAGTGAATGGATAAACGCGCGACCATTGGCTTGGATGTCGATGCGTTTTTATTCCAGCATGCAAGAACTATTGTGTGACCCCCCCCCCCCCCCAGGGATTCCACGATTTTGTCATTTCAGGTTCCAAATTCGGAAGATAATTTTTTGCCAACTTGTGTTTTTTTGTCGCGTGTACAAGCGTGGGGGGTTTTTCCTTACAAAGCGCCGTTTTGTGATTGATTCGGCTCGCTGGTGACGATTGGAGAACAATCCTCACTGCCAAATGTGTCCAATTTGAACACTTTTTTCACCTGACGGTGGATTGCGTCCTGAAGGCACTTGGCACAGTGTCAAGCTAAATCTATCCATCGCTAAATGTTGGTCGTCAAAATTGTGAACGGACGCAATAATATCGCGCGTTAAACGCTCGTACAATGTGATTCGTAAAATAAATGTTTGGCTGTGGTCAGCTGGTGGAGGATTTTACGACACATTTGGCCAGATCAATACGTGGCCTAACCCAAAGAAAAACGCTCTATTTCAAATCCCTAATTATAATACTGGCTACAAAAACGACGCGCCGTTCACCGTGTCCGGTTCTACAATGTGTGGCAGCAGCTGAGCAGTCGGCAATTAGCGAGGAGTGGAGGTGAGGAGACGGAGGCGCCAGCGGCCACCAAGAGGTCGTCTGTTGCGGCGGTGACGAGGAAGTCCCGTGACGGGCCGACCGGGAGGGTCCCGCGGGTCATGGAGGCCAGGCCGGTCGCCCCGGCCGATGCGGCGGTCTGTCACATCGAGAAGGAGGCGCTCTTGCACAAGAAGTCTGCAGGTGCCGGTCTCTCCTCCTCTTCCTCCCCCCCCCCCCCCCCCCCGTCATGTCGCTTCTACTACTCAGGATTGTGGTTACCGCGATGATACCACGATGGTGCGGTTGGCAGTGTGTTTTGCAGCGTGTTGCTGCGGTCATGATATAATGTCATCGTCAATCAAAAGACAAAAAAATGTATCCGAGCGCTGTACCGCGCTACCGTAGCTCTGCTGTTACTTTAATGTGCAATGCAGGGCCAGAATGAGGGCCCAAGGCCTGTGGGTTCATCCAGCCCTGGCTAAATATCACTACCAGGGCACCGCAGTGGTGAGAACTGCCTCGGTATGCAAAGAGGGCGTGGGTTCAATCTCGACCCCTAGCGTCTAAAATATTTGGAGTTTGCGCGTCTCTCTCCCCTGTGGTCGTGTGGATTTTTCTCCCGGGTCCTCCGGGTTATATCCCCTCCACATTTTAGAATCACTGTACGTTTTCGATTATTTGGCTGCTATAAATGCCCACGTGCTGATGAGCCCACCTCGTTGGGCTATTGTGGCAAGGTCAATTCGGAAAGAGCTACATTGCTCGTTGGGCCTTCTCTGGTAAAAAATAACAATTTTCGTTTAGTTTAGATGCGTTTCTCCCGAGTTTTGATTCCCATGCCACCCGTGGATTGTGTCTGTGCCCTGTCGGTGCTCGGTGCAGTGGTGAGCGACGCCAAATGCGGGTGGAGTGGCAAGCTTCCCAAGAGAAGTCACCAGAGTCCCACCTATTCCTGCAAGGTGTTCATGGGTGGCGTTCCCTGGGACATCACCGAAGGTGGTGGTGCCGTCCTAATTGGTGTGACCTCTATGGACGTCTGGTTTTTAAAGGCTTTGGTATTCAATGTTTTCAGACGCTGTCTTTTCGACAGACCTGTTCTTCACCTGAGGGACGGCTGCTTGCGTTGTGGCCGAAACGTAATTTATTATGTTTTATTATTTTATTATTTCCCTTCTACGTGACTTTACCGAAAGAACCAAGAAGATGCTTCGGTATTCGTTTCCTGTGCGTGGGATATGGTAATTGATTTTTTTTTTTTTTGGTATTACAAAAAATTTACTAATCCGAAAATTCGGCCTGGATACGATATTTTGAATGATTTACAAGCACGACCTCACAGGAAATTACCTCGCTTAAATTAATGTTACGTCTATGAAAAAACAATAATGGATTTTACCCTTTATGGCACTAAAACAGGTATTAAAATGTTCAAACACCAAATAGAAACCTTTTGCGAGGAATCAAGTCTGCATTAACAACACGTACTTGTGGTGAACATACATACAAACAAACACGCTCTGATAATAATGGATGCATTGTCTTTGAAACTGATTGGCCTACACCAGAGACAGCGTCTCTAGGGCCAAGTCTGGTCAGTGTCGGACCAGAGAACGCCAAAAGGCGAACGGCACAAACACAATGCACTAAGTGCATTTATAGCTCGGTGAGCAGCTACAAAATGGGACTTTTTTTTGCCAGTATCAAGGTATGAAAAAATAAGAATAGGGTCTACCCTGTGGGGATAAAGCAGGTTTAAGCTTGTGTGGGGGGGGGGGGGGTCTGTACGAATCCTGGGATTTTTACATTGCAATGGTCCGTTCAGTGCCCCCCCCTCCATCATTGTAAATTCGCGGCAACGTAGAAACGCGCCAACGTGGATTGAAGGACCCTTCGTGTGAAATGAATTTTATTTTTTAAACACGCACATTCGTCAACGGCAGCTCGCGTTTTTAGATTCGGGAGGTGCGCGGGAAAGCCACAGGCGAGCGGAGAGAAGGGGAAGGCAGCCAAACACTGGGTGTCAACAATTGCCTTCGCGATCTGCGTGTCCTCGTATTTTTATGATGGTTTCGCCAACTCCCATCGACGATGAGCTCGGTTTTAATTCTAGATTTGAAGTTTTCGTGACTGCAAGGATTCATACTCTTTGGTTTTCTCGGTAAAGTCACGTAGGTAAAACATTTTAATAAATTAAATTACGGCGTTTCGGGCGCAACACAAGCGGTGTGCTTTCGCTAAGTTGTCCCCCACCTGAAGAAGGACGCTTGTGTTGCACCCAAAACGTCGTGATTTAATTTATTTAAATTTTTACCAACGTGACTTTACCGAAAAAAACAAAGCAAGAGTTTGTTTTTTTTAATCCTTTATATTAAGTTCGCTTGCGTGCTTGCTTGCTTGCTTACGACCATGCAAATCTTTCGGTCGTTTTTTAACCCACTTCCCGTGATCCAATCGAGCTGACATTTTGCACACACTCGTTGTGCGAGACAATTAATGTTCGTGAAAAATTGTTTCAAAATTTTACACTGTTTAGGGAAAACAAATTAAATATTTAATTACCAATTGCTTAATACTGGCAGACAATCACCTGACCCATAAGTGGCAGCCATCTCAAGCCAGAGGACGAGAGGACTCTGGCCGCCACGCATATAAAGGATGTATAGTGAAAAACTTTGTTTTTACGGGTTATATTATTTGTTGTTCGCGTGCCAGCTGGGATCTTGAACTCCGTGAAGAACTTTGGGCCTCTGGTGGTCGAGTGGCCGGTGCGAGACGGGAAGCAACAGACGGCTCGCAAGGAAGCGTTTCCCAAAGGTATCGTGCACGTGACGAGTGTGACGTCATCGAAAGTAAGACCCTAACGGAATCCATCTACAGTATATATATTTTTTGTCAAGTGAAATTTTTTTCATCGCATTTGTAGACGATGCTCTAGTCGCAGCTGCAATTTCTATGAACAACCCAACCAGTAATGGATATAGATTGTAATTGATATGCACACGTTAACCCCCCCCCCCCTCCCTCTCTGACCTTCGCACGGGATTGCCTCACAAGTGACGACATCACATCCCCTCTTAAGACCGAAACAGGAGGGTTTTCTCTACAAACTCTGGCTGTTGCCTGATGAGGCTGCTTGTAATTACTGGCGAAACGTCGTACTCGAATTGTAAATGTTGTCGTGGGTTTACGCTCCAACAACCGGTGTTGCTGTACACGCAACGAATTGCCACGTTCTGCTTGCGTGACAAACCTTACTTATTATTGGCTGTGTCGGATGGTGGCGGCTTTAACGACACGTGTATATTTACGCGATTAACCCAAAAACCTCTGGACGATATTGGTCACGTGCTAAACTGAAATGTCTTAATATTTTCCGGAACGCTGCTAGGCTTTTTTGGGATGAGAATTAGTGGCGTATGGCACTACCACAGGCGTACAAGCTATACCTGTCCATAATAATCCTAGATATTCATGCCCTACTTTCCTATAATCCTATTAGAACAAAATAAGGCGAGATGGACGTGGCATGCCGAAATATTTTCGCAGGGAATCCAGACTTTTTGTGGCTAAAATTAGAATGTTCTATATAGCACACAGGTTTCCACAGCCAAGTATTATGATTCCTAATTGACTTCTGAATTTTCCGTAGAATGATCAGGCTAAGATTTGTCCCAAGACCCTCTGCCACCCGTACCATAAGCTGATGAGTAGACACTTTTAACATGCATGTTAATCTATCAGCTTGTCAACAAGTTGAACTCTTTTCACAACTAAACTTGACAATTTATATCCGAAGATTTGCTTAACGCCATCAAGCATCTTCGGAACAAGATGCAGGAACATCGTATCAAAGCGCTAAATGTGGTTGTGAGAATTTTTCAACTTTGAGGTGAGCTGAAACCATAACAACTGGCTCGATAAATGCCTGCCCACGTGACAATTTTATTCGTTTGGTTGTGACAGGTGGTGGTGGAGGTTCTAACGACACTAATTAGGCCAGATCATTACGTAGCATATCCTAATCATAAGCAATGAAGTGTTTTTCGAAAAGATATTGACGATGTCGTTTGCTGCTCTGCTTGCGCGTAATGTGTGGTGTTGCGGCTCTCTGTGTCAGGCTACGTGTACATTCTGTTTGAGCAAGAACGGTCGATACGCGCCTTACTGCAGGCCTGCAAAACCAACTACAACAACGCCTTCGGCTGCAACATGTACTACTACGAGGTGTCGAGCCGCAAAATGAAGAGCAAAGTGGTCGGTACCTAAGCTTGCGTCGTTTTCTTTTTACGATCGTTGATTTGACATCTTAGCCAAATCGCCACCTCATCCACACCACAATTATAAGGTCACACTAATTGCACACAAAGCGCTTGCCACAAATGTGACCCCACAATACCTTGCTGATCTCGTCAAGGAGCATAAACCTTTATGACATGAACTCCGGTGGTCATCCTCGCAGTGGCTAGTGGCTGCTGGCCATCAAACAAAGACGGTCACTGCATCGCGCGCTTTCAGATGCACTTCTGCGGCCGTCTGGAACGCTCTTCCTTCCGATATTCGAAAGCCACTGAAGCTATGCACTTTTACATCCAGATTGACAACTCGTTTCTTTAGGACTGCTTGTGTTTACTTTGTCCTGCCCCTGCATCTCCAATTCAGCACAGTTGGCAACGTACAGTGCAAACGAAGTTCTACATGTACAAACGGCTGCCATTCACCACTAAGTGTAACATCACCAAAGCGCGCGTGTGCCAAGTATGGTGCACGTGGAGGCCTTGTAGAGTGCCCAAGGCTTACTCGCGGGGAGGGGGGGGGGTCACGAGACAGACCCCCCCCCCTCCCCCAGGTGTTGTGGGTTGACCGACCAGATATGACTGCCAGATGTGTACCACCTCCCTCCTGTGCCTATCTGGTGCGTTTTAATCCGCCCGACACTTCCGCTCGTCGTTGCGAGCGTCGCTCCTCTGCCCCGTGCTCGCGTGCACCACGCAGCGCCCACGGGCTCTTGCGGTGGCGAGTTAGAAATAACGACGACAAACTCGGCACACTCGTCAATACCCCCACTGCCTTCATCAACTGTCCAAAAAAAAAAACAAGAACCAGGCTTTCCCCCGCTTGCTCGCGATGTAAACGTGCCGCACAAGCGCCAACACGAGGGTGCTTTTGGCCAAGCATCCATAGGAGGTGCAGCATTTGATGTCTAAGCAGATGGGGCGAGGGAGGGGGATTGCTGGGATGGGCCCTCCACCACTCAATGCCCCTTATTTAGCCCACCCAGGTTCACTCCTTATTGGTTCAATTACTGTTAATCTGCCCCCCCCCCCCCGGGAACAGATCTACTGCCCACCCCTTCTGAGAGGAGGAACTGGAGCCAGGCTTGCAGTGGTGTGTACCTGTGTGTGTACCTGTGTGTGTACCTGTGTGTGTACCTGTGTGTGTACCTGTGTGTGTACCTGTGTGTGTACCTGTGTGTGTACCTGTGTGTGTACCTGTGTGTGTACCTGTGTGTGTACCTGTGTGTGTACCTGTGTGTGTACCTGTGTGTGTACCTGTGTGTGTACGTGCAGTGGGGGAGCGGTAGTGTAGCAGCGGGTTGGCGCGCTGCAAACCCTGGCCACCCCAGTTTGATTCCCGCTCGCGGCCACCACCAGTGACCATTGCCTGAACCGGTTCTGGGCCTCCCCCTCGGTCGACTCGGCCTCAAATGAGTACCCTTGTGCAATATGTAAGCGAGGGGGGGGGGGATATCTTCACAGGGTAGACGAAGGCAGTTGTGGTGCCAGCCACCCCCCTCCCCCCCTCGTGTGCCCGTTCCGGCCTTCGTAAGTGCTGCTCGCTAACAGCACTTGCCCTATCAGTCTGTTAGAGCTGTACGGGGGATCTTTGTGTTCTGTAGGTGCAGGTGATTCCCTGGGTGGTGGCCGACAGTAACTACACCAGCTTCCCGTCCCCGCGGCTGGAGAGCCACAAGACTGTGTTTGTGGGCGCTCTGCACGGCATGCTCAACGCCGAGGGGCTGGCGGTGATCATGAACGACCTGTTTGGAGGCGTCGTCTATGCTGGAATCGACACGGACAAGTACAAGTACCCCATAGGTACGAGAACCAGAGGTCGCAATCGGGTACCCGATACCCGCACCCTACCCGATACCCGGCCGGGTACGGGTAGCCGTTTGCGATCCTGGTGCGGCCGGGTACGGGTAGGCCGTGAGTCACTAGTGAGTCACCGTTTGTCACTCATTTCCCAACGTCTTGTCTCTTCTCACAATTCAAGTTCCTAGAATCAACCCACCCGTGCCTGCAACATGGCTTCATCCCAGAGGTCGCAATCGGTTACCCGATACCCGATACCCGGCTACCCGTACCCGTTTGCGACCCTGGTGCGGCCGGGTACAGGTAAGGAATCAAAACCCGTTTGCGACCTCTGACGAGAACCCCCCCCCCCCCCCCCCCACACACACACATAGTTTGCCATCTCCAAAGTTCCGTTTTGATTTTCAGATTTAAAATAACACGTTCCTTCGGAGTGGGCACGTAGGGACTTGCTTGGACAGCGCATTCGTGCACGACAGACAGACAAATAATCCCTGGTGGGCAGTGTGGAACCTGTTGTTCCTGCCTGTAAAATATATATAGCGTGTGATACGCGCCTCGTGGAAACGTTGTAGGACTTCTGACGTGCGCAGTTGGACGTTTGCATGGAGGATCGGGAAACCCATCGGTTGGCAGGAAGGGATGCCAGAACCGGTATCGGCAATTGCCCAAGCTCTGTGGTTCTAATGTTGGCATGTTTGACCCATCCGGAGGGGGGGGGGGGGGGGCGCGTGTGTGGGGTTTAACGCGCTCATTGCTTTGAGCCCTTGGGTCCGGAAAGCCTCGACTGGAGAATATTTTGAGCGGCTGTTTCTGACGGCACATTTCGGTTTGTGTTCTCCAGGGTCTGGCCGCGTAACCTTCAACAACCCCACGAGTTACATGAACGCCGTGACGGCCGCCATCGTGGAAATAAAGACGACAAAGTTCACCAAGAAGGTCAATTTGTGTCCCAAACCCAAAATACAAAGGTCATCTTTTGAGAAAGCGATTTTCTCCCCCCACCCCCCCCCCCCCCCCGAATCTCAATTCAGGCAAATCGCCCGATTTGAAGCTGGTTAATTACCAACCGAAACGTCGGACTCGAATTGTGTAAATGTTTTGATTTAAAGCTCTAGTGACTGCAGGGATTCATATTCTTGGTTCTTTCGGTAAAGTCACGTAGAAGGGAAATAATAAAGTAATAAAAATATATAACGCCGTGAGAAATTTTTTTTATATTTATATTATTTTATTATTTCCCTTCTACGTGACTTTACCGAAAGAACCAAGAATATGTGTAAATGTTGTGTTTACTCTCCAACACGCCGACCAATGTGCTGAGGTCGTAACTAATTGGGAAAAAAAATTTGCGACGAATCTTTACCAATTGCCCGTGTCGGGTGGTCTCGGGGTTAACGAGACATATTTCTGCGATCGAACTCCAAAAAACCTTTTTGATATCATGGTCGCGGGAAGGGGGGGGCCCTACTTGCGTGTTTTTAAACCAAAAATGATTCCGCGCCACTTGATGACGCCGCTCCTTCGTGCGACGAAAGCGCATCGTCCACATGGTCGGCGGTGGAAGTGGTTGGAGCTCTGCGACCTGCTGGTGGAAAATACCCCCCCCCCCCACCATCCCCCGGGGTTCTAGAGGGGCACTTTGGCCTACTCCTCCCACTCTGACCAGACGGGTTGGAAGAGGAGAGGGGGGTTGACGGTGGTCGCCCCCCCCCTCCCCATTGTTTCAATTGCCGTGCCAGGAATTGAACCGGTGACCTCTGGATTGCAAGTCCAGCGTGCTGTGAACGAATGACAACACCGATGCCTCTTGTGCATCCCCCCCCACCCCACCCACTCCCAAACCTGTCTTGTACAGCGCAAATGTTGGGGGTGCATCTTTTAATCCAGCACAGTAGAAACCCCCTCTTAACGACCACCTCTGACTAATCTCTTAACGACGGGCCTCCATAGAGCCCAATGTGTCGTGTATAGTGTAGTGTATAGTAGTGCAATATATAGTAGTGTATAGTAGTGTTGTGTGTAGTGTATAGTAGTGTAATGTAGTGTATAGTCGGTTTAACACGTAGCAGGCTTTCGCGACCAATATTCATAATCAACGTTTTTGGGTTTAGATCGCGTTATTTATAAATGTGTCGTAACCCTCCACCACCCGACACGGCCAATCAGTAAAAAAGTGTCACGTTGACAAAAGACAAATAGTTCACTGCTTTAGCCCACCGGTGTGTTGAATCGTGAAACCACAACATTGTGTGTAGTGTAGTGCCTCCATAGAGCCCAATGTGTTCACTTACCGACCATTTCTCTGACGACGGCCTGTTGTAGGTACAGTAATAAGTAATGCATTGATTAACCACGTTTAAGTATTGTGTTTATAGTGTTAGTATCTTCATGTATTAATATCCATTTGTATATATTAAGAAGTATTTTTTCGTGTCCAAAGAGGTAACTTTCGATGCTATCAGAACTAATTAAGCCTTTGACGTGTTTCCTAATACTCGCTTAACGACCCAATCACTTTACAACCAGTTTCGTTCAACTACTCGCCGTCGTCAAAAAGCGGGTCTCCTGTGTGTGTGACACCAGCCCTTGTGTAACTTTAATGACACACGGCACAACTCCTTTGAAGTGCATCTCGCAATGCCGCGAACTCAGCGGTGGGGGGACCGCTTGCCCCCCCAACCCGTGGCATCGACGCAATCGGGTTGCCTCGTTTTGCAGATCCAGATCGACCCATACCTGGAAGACTCCATTTGCCAAGTCTGCAGCCACAGTCCCGGAAACTTCTTCTGCCGTGCCACGGTAATCGCCCTTCTACACCGGCTTCACGGCGCGTGAGCCGTTGTGCCCCCCTAAAAATATATAAACCAGTGGGGTCTTAATTTGGGGTGCACGCACACCCCATGGGGGTGCGAGGGATGTACCCTCTCCAGGGCGTGGGGAGGGGGGGGGGGTTGCGAGACCATGGTCTGATTTTTTTTCCGAAGGCAAATCGTCGAAACACAAATTAAGCATGGGCACCGAAGTTACAACTTTGTTTCGGCAAACCCTCTATAAACATTATACATTTTATAATGATTGCCAACCAAAGGGATTGCAAGGCTGCAGTAAAGGTTACAGGCCATTGATCGAATCGCTACTCCCACTGCCAGGGTGGCAAATGCTACAATTGTATTTATCTTTTAGATCACAAATGTCTTGTAGCAAGTTCAAAGTAGGCGCTGCGTTTATGATCCACTGTCATTTTAAAGGATGCCGGAATGTGTTTAGTGTGTCGTTTTTGGGAAACAAGCTAATGCGATAAACATCGCTGCAACCTGAGACGAAACAGGAACTGGGTCTAATAAAACCGACGGGTACGTATGCAAAGCTTCCTGCCCATGGGGGGGACACAGCGTGTGGTGGACGCGCGTGTATTTATCCACCCCAGATAGTATCGACCAATGACCTTGGCTCATCAGCTTGTGTAGTCGGTGTGAAAGTGAAGCTATGGCAGTGGAGGACTGTGCGAGGGTTAGGAAGTCAACGTGCAGAAGGGAATCTAAGCCAACGTGTGTACTGCACGGTGAGCAGAGTGGATTTTTGATGGAATACGTAAACTGATTTTTTTTTAAGAGCTCGCTATACAGAGAGCATAGACTACCTCGCCTGGTATACACGAGGTTGTGGGTTCGATTCCGACCCCAAGACCTGTATTTGGAGTTTTCATTGTTCTCCCTATGGCCGTATGAATTTTTGTCCGGGTCCTCCAGTTTTTCCCATCCACAATTAAAATGGACGTGCGATTTAAAGTATTTTGCTAAACATTTCCACCTGATAAGCCAAGCCGTCACTTAGTCGCTGAGCACTCATTTGTGGCCAGGTCACTCCTGCAACCGAGCTATTTTGCTCGGTGTGGGCCTTACCTGGTGAAATAAAATACTACTTGTGGTTTAAATACTTTTTAAATCCTTTATATTAAGTTCGCTTGCTTGCTTGCGTGCTTGCTTGCTTGCTTACGACCGTGCAAATCTTTCGGTCGTTTTTTAATCCACTTCCCGTGATCCAATCGAGCTGACATTTTGCACACAGACTCGTTGTGCGTGAAAAAAAAAATTAAAATTTTTACACTGTTTAGGGAAAACAAATTAAATATTTAATTACCAATTGCTTAATACTGGCAGACAATCATCTGACCCATAGGTGGCAGCCATCTCAAGCCAGAGGACGCATATAAAGGATTTATAGTGAAAAACTTTGTTTTTATGGGTTATACTTATTGTCCTTGCGGTCACGACTGTCGCCAGAGAAGACGCGACCGTGCGATGCTGGGCGTGGTGTCACGTGGTGCTGCTGCTGGTTTTATTGTTGCTCCCAGGTCTGCTTCAGCTACTACTGCCGGAGCTGCTGGCAGCTGAGGCACTCGGCGGAGGGGCTCAGCTCGCACCGGCCGCTGATGAGAAACCAGAGGGTGAAGACGGCGCAGTGAGATCTCCTCCTGGGCTTGCGTCGTCTCCTACGAAATTTGTGCGGCAGTCCTATATTTTTTGTTCGTGTGAAGTGTGTGTGTGTGTGAAGAGTGGAGAGGTGTGTGGTGTTGATGTTATTCCTTTGCGACTGTTTGTGACCGCACGCGTCTGTCCCAAATCTCTGCTCCCGGCAGCCACGAGCAGATTCCGGCGACTTCACCACCCCAGCCCCCCACCCCCTGTAATTTACAGCACTTAAAACAGTAATAAACACTGCGTTCTTTATATGTAAAGTTTGAGAAATCTATTTAATAAAAATGTTGACTTTTTATAAGATGGCTCGTAATCTGCGTCTCGTGTTATTCCGCCGATTATCTCACCGTTTTTTTAATCTTTCAGTAGGTGAATCTACACGCTCGTGTGTGTGTGTGGATACACGTCTGAATATTATCACCTACGAAATTTGGATTGTAACGAACGAAATAACCGTGCCCTTGGCGACATTGCTCATGAACGACGTTCGCTGCTCACACGCTCCTTACCCACAATTCCCAGCTGAACTCGCTCCATCGCCCCCCCTCCCTGTGGTTAATCTGGTAGCTGTGTGACCAGATTTGGAAGTTTGACACAAGGCAGGTAGTTTTAGGGTGCGTCTTATTTTCCAGAAGCGTCTTCTAATCCGGAGAATACGGTAATTGGTGTTTAACGGTATCCCCCCCCCCTCCAATGTTGCAAGCTATGGCAATAGGAGCATATAAAAGTCGCCAGCCCTGACTCCAGTAGAACTTAATTTGCATGTTTCTGCACAATGATTATTATTTGTAATAACGGTCTTGCGAGAGCCCTTTGCATTGGCAACACAATATTCATTCCTGGTGTATTGGTGCATGACGCGAGGAAGGGATTCCTGAGACAGTGGAGGGTGATTTTGGTATTTTTTTTCCCAAGAGTGAGTGGGGGAAGATGAAATGCTCCACGAGGCAGAGCGAAGGAAAGTCTGAAACTTGAGCGACTCTCCGCAAGGACATTGACCTCCACCGAGCCACCTGCAATACGGGGAAGTCTTAATTCGTGAACACACGAGATGGCAAAAACTTACGACTTTTCGCAAGAACATGACGGTGAACGGTCTGCCGCTGACTTTGGCGGACGGGGTCGTCTAGGGGGGGGGGCTGCCCCCCTACCCGCTATCTACGGCTCGGCGGAGGGCCCGGCGGCACGGATGTGTTCGCCTGCTCCTGGGGGGCCACTCCCTCGGCCGCCGGGGCCTCCTGCTCCCACTCGAGGCTCTTGAGCCGCAGGGCCCGGAGCTCCCCCTCCGAGCGGCAGCTCACCCCGCGGCTCCGCATCCGCGCCGTCATGGGCAAGTCGGCCGGCAGCTGCACGGCCACCACCTCCTGCGGCCACAGAACAGCAACAATGAGGGTGGCACCACGAGCGTGCGTGCGTGCGGTCATCGTTCCCGAGCGTTGGGGAATTTTTTTTAGGTTTTTTTTATTTTCTTGGTTCTTTCGGTAAAGTCACGTAGAATGGAAATGAAAAAATAATAAAAAGAAAACATAATAAATAATTCTCACGACGTTTCGGCCACAACGCAAGCAGCCGTCCTCAGGTGGAGAACAGGTCTGTCGAGAAGACAGACAGAATCTAAATGACTGTCTTCTCGACAGACCTGTTCTCCACCTGAGGACGGCTGCTTGCGTTGTGGCCAAAACGTCGTGAGAATTATTTAATGTTTCATTTTTATTATTTTAGCATTTCCATTCTACGTGACTTTACCGAAAGAACCAAGAAGATGAATCCCTGCAGTCACGAAAGCTTTAAATCGAGGCTTTTTTGAGTTTGTCCTTCCCCTGCACCTCCGTTTTTTGTGTGCCGTTGGCTACGTACGGTGCGAAAGAAGCTCTGCATGCAGGTACATACGATGGGGCTGTCTGGGTTTGAGCTCCAGAAGATAATTACACTTTTTCCACCTCGCCCCGCTTCTCACTCTTGCGGAGCCATATTTAGGAACTTTCCAAAGTGGGGGGGGGGGGGGGGGATGGAGCAAAGAATTGAACTCGAAGAATCGGTCATGGGGTTCATAGTGTAACACGCTAATCCCTGCACCCCCCCCCCCCACCTAAAGGAAAGGATCTGAAGAGGGAGGACCTTAAACTCTTTCCCGTTCCGAGACGACTGCAAGTTGAAGGGCAGGTCCCGTTCACCGCTGAATCTCAGAAAGCGCAAGCGGTTTAGGGCCGTCCATAAATGACGTCACGCGATTTTTGACGATTTTTGACCCCCCCCCCCGTCACAAAGTCAGACCCCCCTAAAATATGACGTCACGAAGCTCTGCCCCCCCCCCCAAAAAAAACATGCTTCAAATCGCTTTAACCTATTGTCATTGTAGTGCGTATTTAATGTGGCGCTGCACTCTGATGTAGGAGAAAACATTCAAAAGTCTAATTAAGTAGAACGTGTTGTCTATATTTATTGAAAGTTGCCCATTTTGATGTGACGTCACATTTCTCAACCCCCCCCCCCCTCGTCACACATCGTCACAAATGTCTGACCCCCCCCCCAGGTGCGTGACGTCATTTATGTACTGGACTCGCTGCAGAGGAACTGTAGCGACAAGACCGCACTGTGATAGCTACCGCCAAACTGCCCTTCCACGTGACCTTTTAATTGCGATGCCGTTCGGAATCGATTCTGTTCCCATGACGTAAACGAACCGAATCGGAATTTTTAAATCCTTTATATTAAGTTCGCGTGCTTGCTCGCTTGCTCGCTTGCTTGCTTAGGACCGTGCAAATCTTTCGCTCGTTTTTTAACCCACTTCCCGTGATCCAATCGAGCTGACATTTTCCACACAGACTCGTTGTGTGTGACAATTAATTTGCGTGAAATTTTTTTCCCAAAATTTTACACTGTTTAGGGAAAACAAATTAAATATTTAATTACCAATTGCTTAATACTGGCAGACAATCATCTGACCCATAGATTGCAGCCATCTCAAGCCAGAGGACGAGAGGACTCTAGCCGCCACGCATATAAAGGATTTAGAGTGAAAAACTTTGTTTTTACGGGTTTACTTGTTAAAAATGACGTACACGTACGTCATCGGAAAGGGGTTACTATGGCGGTGGCTCCTCACCGGCGTGACGAGGGCTTGGAATGGGGAGCAGAGAGACTCGAAGCGAGCCGTCTTGGCGATGTTGACGGCCGAGTAACGAGCGCGGCGCTCCTGCCGCGCCACTCCCGACAGGTTCGCGTTCCGATCCTGAGTGACGCACAACAACGACGGCGACAACGTGAACATTCAAAGCTCCCACTCCGATCCCGAGTGCCGCGTAATTGGCGGCGGTGGCACGGTGGGACGCGCGAGTGGCAGGTTCGAGCGGGTGCGGTGCGGTCCGTGTGCGCACCGTGCCAAGCCGGACCGCCGCCACGTCCCCGTTCGTGGGTTCCTCCTCGCTCCGCGGGCTCCGCTTCTGTTCCTCCAGCGGCTCTGCGAGGTCGGCACAAGCGGAGAGGGCGCCATCCGCGGTTGTTGGCAATGCAGGCACACCGACATCGCGTTTGTCACCAGGCTTCCAGCCGATAATCTACACCCCCCCCCCCCCCCCCCCCATCGTGCACTCTTGTGACATGTCCAGCCCGAGCCTACTTCCTTTCACCGAGTAGCGCTACGGTGTTTGTTCTGTCCCCTTTCTGCCACTCCTGTGCCATTGTCAGCAGGCATCTCTCCATGATTTTGTGTCAATTTCACCTTTCTTTGGTTCCATTTAATTTGTTGGTGTTCGTGATTTATGGGGAGTGGTTAGCGTGGTTAACGCGCTGAGAACCCAGCGACTCCGAGTTTGATTCCCACTCTCTGCCACCAATGTCGGTGACGTTCATCTGAACCAGACCTGGGCCTCGCCTAGGTCTAGCACAGTGTGGAAACATCGCCACTGGGGAGACGAAGGCAGCTGAGCGTGGTGCTGGCCGCCCACCCACCCTCCCCCCTGCCGTGTGCTATTCCGTCCTTCACAGGTGCTACTCTCTCGCAGCACTTACCCCAATAGTCTAAGGCTACAAGGGGGGGGGGGGCAGGGGGTGGGGTGGACTTTCTATGTGATTCTGATCTGGGGCAGCTTTACCGGTCTCGTTGGGCGAGCGAGACTCCTGCGTCTTGCCCGGAGGTCTCTCCTCCTGCTCCGCCACCACCAGACTCTCCGGGGAGGGTCCGGCGTCGCGCCCGGCGTCGTGTCCGGCGTCGTGTCCGGCGTCGCGCCCGGCGTCGCGCCCGGCGGTCTCCCGCTCTCCGCTCTCCGACGATCGAGGAGCGGATTCCCGCGGCCCCTCCGCTCGCCCGGCCTCCTGGCTGTCGGCGACGGGAGCGAGCTGCTCTCCGTACGTCGCTGGGTCCTTCAGGTCCCAGGGCCGCTGCTGCCCGAAGGTTCCCACGGGCTCGCCGAGCAGCGTCCACAGCTTGGCCGTGCGGTCGCCGGAGGCGCTCACCACGTAGGAGGCCGAGTCGAGCCGCAGCACCTCGACGTGGACCACGGCTTGGGTGTGCGCCAACCAGGAGCGCAGGCAGGGCGGCGACGCCTCCGCACCGCCCTCGTTCTCCTGCGCCAGCCGCAGCCACTCGCTCAGAGTCCATCGCGACGCTCGTCGCGCTCGTTACACGCAGAGTGCTCGCCACACATGAACTGCGATACGTCCGCCGATCTCAAGGAGCATAAACCATCATCACGCAAACTCCGGTCATCCTCGCGGCAGCGGCTTTTGGCCGCTCGAACATAGATGGTCACCGCATCGCGAAGGAAGAGCATTCCAGACGCGGCCGTCTGGAATGCTCTTCCTTCTGATATTTAGAAGCCATTGGAGCTGTGAACTTTAAAATCTAGATTGAAAACTAATTTCTTTAGAACTGCTTCTTGTGTTTTACATTGTTCTTCCCCCGCACCTCCAATTAGCGCAGTTGGCTACGCACAGTGCAAAAGTTCTACGTACTTAACAATAAAGCGTCTCGCAGCCCTTTACACGCAGTGAGCGACTTAACCAGGTGGCCTGCGAGCGGGCAGTCGTCTGCCCGTAGGGGGCGATTGCTGCTGTGTGTGTCTTCCCAAGCGAGCACTTTGCAGATCATTTTTAGAATTTGGCCAAATGTGGACCGTGACGCTGGCACACAATGGCCTTCTCGTGTTGTGTAACCTGCGGGGGGAGGTCTTTAACGCCCACTGTGAAGCAGACGGCACTTGGTATTGCACCGCTAAATCCTCCAGCGGTCCTAACCAACCAGGGAGCGGCCTGCCAGAAAATCAAACGGCGAACCTCCACGGCGAACGCGCCGTCGCTGGAGCGTGCGACCGCCTCGTGTGACATCGCCGTGCGGGCCGTGGCTCCCATCGCAGCAACATCTCAAGTCGTCGTTCAACCACGGCACCACCGCTCGTCGGGTGTCCAGAGCACCCGTGCGTCCCCCCCACAGTTACCGCGTCCGAGTGGCAGCGCCGGGGCTGTGGCACGCGGTCACTTGAACAATTCTCAACGCAAAACTCAGCGCCTAAAAAGGGTGCGACGTTCCGCTTGGAACTGCATCGAAAATAACGTATTTGAATTTTTTAAGAATGACAAATCTGGATTGTATTCTCACTTCGTGGATCTTGCCCGCAAGATGCTTGCCAAGAGCACTTACCGCTGAACTCAAAACAATATCCATTGGTGGGTTTTAAAGGATTGTGCACGTGACGATTTTTATATGTTATAGCTGTGTCCAGGTGGTGGGGAGGGTCTTTTGGGCCAGATCACTACGTGGTCCAAAAACCAAAAACGCAATTATGATGAATCGTAATTCTCACTGCAGGAAACTACCTCGGGTCACGTTCACTGTTGACTCTCGGAACGCGCATTAATTTTATTTAGAGATGAATAGCGCCGTTGTTTTTGAAGACATTGTGCTCGCCGCAGAGAACTGTAGCGACACGGCCGCACTCCACGACAGCTGGCGCCAAACTGTGTCACACGCCCTCCCGCCTGGCCTTGTGGGAGCCTCGGTACCGATAAAGTTATTTTTCGTTTTTCTTCCTGTTCCGATGACGTACGTACGTCATGGGAAAGGGTTTAATATGAACTTGGGGGCGGGGGAGGGGGGGCAATTGCTGCGGCGGTGATTATTACGACTTCAGAAAAACAACAAAGGCGAGCCCCTTAAAACATGGTGGTGGGGGGTAGGGGGGAAGCCACACCGTGCTGCCGGCCCGCAGGCCGTAGGCCCGCACGTCCCACGCCCGCAGGTAGCCCGCCGTGTCGCCCGTCACCAGCACGCCGTCGTCATGGCTGCTGGCCAGGCCCAGCGCCAGCTCGTCGGGCCGGGCAGCAGCGTAAAACGAGCCTGAGAGAGAGGGGGACGGATAGATGGCGTGCACCGGGTGCCGGTCAGCACCCAGAACCCGAATATTTATTCATAATGGAGGAATACGATGAGCTATAAAGGTCATTTCACAGAGGTCCAGTTGGGGCGGGTAAGAGCATTACAGGAACAAACGACACAAATATAACTAAACCATCCCCATTCCTCACCAGGCAAAGCCCACTGAGGTATGAATGTATTTTTCAGAAGCGACTCTGCCACCAATGATGGCTCAACAAAGTGGCTTATGTAGAAATTTATAGCAGAAAAATGTATTTAAATAATCTCAAAGAATGTGTCTAAATGGGACGGATGGGACGGTTCATTTTCATCGCTGCTGCCACTCCGTTCCCATCTGCCCCCCCCCCCCCCGCTCAGACATCCGTGCTGTCATCTCCCTGGCCATGTTCTGGTCCAGGCTCAAGACCTCCCTATCCATGTGTCGGTCCCACACAGGGGGCCCCTCTCATACTCCCAGCGTGGCCACGCCCCCTTTCTGGAACCTACTCGTGGGTTCCCGGGGCTTCCCGATGGGCCCTTCTGTGACCTTTCCCCTTTAGATGTCCCCCTCTCGTGTCTATCGTGGCCTGCTGACGTGAGAACTGCCTTACACCGCAGTTACCCTTCTCTGCATATGTATGTTGAATTTTCGCACCGTACGTAGCCAACCGCGCTAATCGGAGGTGCGAGGGGAAGGACAACAAACGAAACACAAAAGGCAGTTCTAAAGAAATGAGTTTTCAATCGAGATTTAAAAGTGCATAGCTCCCAGCGGCTTCCTAATATCGGATGGAAGAGCGTTCCAAACGGCCGCTGAAGCGCTCGCCATGCGGCGGCGACGACCGTCTTTGTTCGACTACAACCGACCACCCCTTTCCCTCTCTAAGATGAAAAAACAACAACATCGCAAACTGTTTTCTGCACACGCCTGGAGACGCGGGTGTAAACTATCACGGTCCCAGTGACCCTCCTCCACCCCACTCCGCCTCCCCATCGCTGACGCGCGCCCCCCGCGTACCCAGGTGCCTCTGCTGCTGCCCGTAGAGCTGCCACCAGTGCACGCAGCCACCCTCGGAGCTCAGCAGCAGCGCCGCGTCGCGCAGGCCCGCGACCGCCGCTCGCGCCTGCAGGAAGAGCAGCCGGTCCACGGGCCTCGGCGGTCTGTGCGGACGGGACGAGAGCGGCCGTGAGGGAACGGCGTGGTCGGCAGAGACTGGGTGGGGGGCGCGGGGGGGGGGAGCTAGCGTGCGTCCCCACGGACGTTGCGGTGCAGTAGCTCCTCTCTGGCCTCGCCGAATCGCTTGCCGCCGAATTCAAAAACGATTCGGAGGTTCCGCAGCCAGACTAGAACCGAAGGAAACCACGAATCCACCGGGCTTGGATTGGGAAGAGGCGTAAATAGCGCGCAATAAAGTCGTGGGGAAACTCCGGTTTGTTATTTTTTGTGTAAAACTCCGACACACGCGATGGTTTACCGGTCAAGCGAGATGAATCCCCGAGTTTTAGTAAGTTCTGCTCAACCGATACCCAAAACTAACACCACCACTACCTCCCCACCCACAGATCCCTTTACTGGCTCCCAATGCAATCTCGGATCAACAACAACTGCTGATCGTGGCGTGTAACTATTTACACTGCGGCGATGCATTTTCAAATTTCCCCACCGCTTCAAATGCCACGCAGGGGATAATCGAATCAAAGCGGCGACCTCCTGAACTGCACGCCCGGCGCGCCGCCACCGCGACAGATCGGTCGCACCGACTCGACACGCGGCCCCCCCCCCCCCCCCCCGCATCCTCATTCTCCGCCGTTGCGAAATGAACATCCGCGGAGGGGGGCGGGGGGCACCTGCTCGAGCCGTGCTCGCCCAGGCGCAGGAAGAGCTTCTGCGTCTCGGCGCTCCACACGAAGATCGCTCCGTCGTAGCTCCCCGTGGCGAGCAGGCCGAGGGCGGGCGAGTAGCTGAGAGCCAGGATGTCCTCCCTGTGCAGTTGCCCACCCTTCCAGCTGCTGTCCGCCTTCAGGGCGGTCACCTGGGTCGCGCGCACAGTCGCGGCGGCATCGCCCACAAACACCTCCATCGGTGAGACCGCCGCCATCGCCGCCGGACCGCCTAGGTTCCATCTCCCGCGTGTCTATCGAGGTTCGCGTCTCTGTGTGTGCCACGGCTCTCACCGTCCGCCGTGTGAGCCATGCTGGGCCATTCGGGGCCGTGTGCGGGCACTCACGTCCGGTTTGGAGTCGTCATACAGCAGGATCTTGCGGTTCCAGCCCACGGTGAGCAGCTTGTGCTCGCGCAGGCACGCCACGCCCGTCACCTCGGCCGCCCCCACGGCCTGCAGCCTGAGCAGGTTGTGTCCGTTCTGCACGTTCCACACCTGCGGCGCAGCGCGAGAGGGAGGCGAACGGCGCTCGTTAACGTACGCGGAGGAGATCCAAGCCCCGGCGGGGGAACACGCGAGCTCACGCGAACTCTCGCGGCGCGGATCATCCCCCTCTGGTTCCTCATCGGTGGCCGGTGCCAGCAGAGCGCCTCCGCCGAGTGCCTTGGCTGGCGAGCAGCTCCGGCAGTAGTAGCTGAAGCAGACCTAGAACAACAACAACAACAAACCCACCAGCACCACGCGACACCGCCGCAGCATCGCACGCCGCGTCTCCTCTGGCGACAGTCGCGACCGCAAGAACAAAAAGTATTTAACCCACAAGCCGTATTTTATTTGACCAGGTAAGGCCCATACCGAGCAAAATAGCTCTTTTGCAGAAGCGACCTGGCCACAAATGATTGCTCAACGACGAAGTGGCGGCCTGTCACGTGACAATGTGTAGCCAACTACTCTAAACGCACGTCGAGGCGGCCTGACTATCACAAAGGGTAGCTCAACGAAGTGGCTTATCATCACGTGGACATTTCTAGCAACCAAATACTTTGAAAGTGTGATGTTCAATATAAATGTGCAGGGCAATACCGGAGGACCCGGAGAAAAATCCACGCCACCACGGCGAGAGAAAACACGCAAACTTCAAATATACAGCAGCAGGCGTCGGGGTCGGTATTGAACCCACGGGGCTCCTGGCAAAGTTACCATCTCGCCACTGCGGCGCCACAATAAAAGAATATGCAATAAACAATGAAAGTAAAGAACAAAGCGTGCAGTTTGCCTCCGCATTTCCGTCGCCTCCACGTTAAAATGTAAAATTCAAACAAAAGTTTAAATCCCCTATGACCTCGGGCCCCAGCGCGGTGGCGGTGGTGGCGATGGTGGTGGTGGTGGTGGTGGCGATGGTGGTGGTGGTGGTGGTGGCAATGGTGGTGGTGGTGGCGATGGTAGTGGTGTTGGTGGCGGTGGTGGTGGCGGCGGTGGTGGTGGCGGTGGCGACGGTGGTGGTGGCGGCGATGGCGGTGGTGGTGGTGGTGATGGTGGTGATGGCCGTGGTGGTGGTGGTGGTGGTGGCGATGGTGGTGGTGGTGGCGGCGATGGTGGTGGTGGTGGTGGCGGCGGTAGCGGTGGTGGGGGTGGTGGTGGTGGGGGCGGTGTCGACACGCACCTTGACGGTGCCGTTCCTCGCGCCCGTGAGCAGGCGCCGGCCGGAGGAGTCGAATCCGAGCGAGGTGATCTCCTCCTCGCCGTGGGCGTTGTTCAGCGCGAGCCACTTGGCCCCCGTCTCCACGTCCCACACGATCACGCACGAGTCCTCGCCGCCCGTCACCACCTGCGCCACCGTCCATCCGCGGTTAAACCGGGGAAGGGGAAACGGCCTCCGCGTCGCCGCTCACCAGACGGCCGGACGACAGAGTGAAGACAGTCGCGAGAAAACTGGGAACAAGGAGCGTGAATCATCACGCCAACTCCGCTCATCCTCGCAGCAGCAGCAGTGGCTTGGCTGCTGGCCATCAAACAAAAACGGTCGCCGTATCGCGCGACGCTTTCAGATGCGCTTTTGCGGCCATCTGGAACGCTCTTCCTTCCGACATTAGGAAGCCACTGGAGCTATGCACCTTTCAATCGTCTAGATTGAAAACGAATTTCTTTAGAACTACTTTTTGCGTTTAGTTTGTTGTTCCTTCCCCAGCACCTCCGACTAGCACGGTTGGCTACCTATGGCTCGAAAGAAGTTCAACGCACGCGCATACGTGCGTACGTTACGCTGCTCGTCATAATCAAATTTGGTTTTCGCCAAAAGCCATCCGGACGAGCGACCTGGCGGAAGAGCGGGTTGTACGCCGCGGCCGACAGCGCCGTGGCGTGCGTGTAGATCCCGGCGCCGCGCGCCTCGGGCACCCCCAGCGGCAGCAGCGCCACGTAGTCGGCGCACGACGCCAGCACGCCGTGCAGCGGCGGCGGCAGCAGCAGCAGCGGGAAGTCGCCGTGGCGCAGCGTGCGTCCGGGCTGCACGCACGGGAAGCGCACGCACAGCGTCTGCAGGCACGCGTGCTCCTGCAGGTCCCACACCTTCAGCACCTGGCAGCGACGCCACCGCCACACGGAGACAGAGAGAAGCGACGGACGCGGGTTAAACCGGAGATTTTTATTTTAATGAAAAAAGTAGGAAAGGGCCTAACCCTTGCTGGAAATAATACGGGAGGTCCATCTTCTTGGTTCTTTCGGTAAAGTCACGTAGAAGTGAAATAATAAAATAATAAAAATAAAACTTAATACAATCATTCTCACGACGTTTCGGTCACAACGCAAGCAGCCGCCTTCTACGTGACTTTACCGAAAGAACCAAGAAGATGAATCCCTGCAGTCACGAAAGCTTTAAATCGAAATTTAATACGGGAGGTGTCAACTTAAGCGGTTGTGCTTTCGCTACGTTGTCCCTACCTGGAGAAGGACGCTTGTGTTGCGCCCGAAACGTCGTGATTTAATTTAGTTGTTTTCATTTATTTTGTTAGATTTTGAACCTACGTGGCTTTACCGAAAAAACCAAAGAGTATAGGCGTTAACTCTTTCCCGTTCTGATGACGTACATATACGTCTTCCGTGGCCGTGTGGAGTTTTATTCGGGCTCTCTGTTTTTTTCTCCTCCACGTTTTTTCCCCTCCACATTTAGAAGATTTGGCTGCTGTGCATTTCCACGTCATGAAAAGCCGCTTCTTTGAGCTATCGTCTGTGGCCAGGTCGCTTCTGAAAAACAGCTACATAGCTCAGTGAGCCTTACCTGGTGAAATAAAAACGAGTTATCTTCTTGGTTCTTTCGGTAAAGTCACGTAGAAGGGAAGTAATAAAATAATAAAAATAAAACATAATAAAACATAATAAAATAAAATAATTCTCACGACGTTTCGGCTACAACGCAAGACGGCTGCTTGCGTTGTAGCCGAAACGTCGTGAGAATTATTTTATTTTATTATGTTTTATTTTTATTATTTTATTACTTCCCTTCTACGTGACTTTACCGAAAGAACCAAGAAGATGGATCCCTGCAGTCACGAAAGCTTTAAATCGAAATTTAAAAACGTGTTATTTTAGTCCTAGTATAGTTTAGACACATTTCTCCCCAGTTTCATTCCCTTACATCCGTGAAGTGGTGAGTGACGCGAAATGTCAGAATATCTATTTACACTGAGCTTCAAAGCGTTCCCTGGGACATCACCGAAGGTGCCGTCTTATTGGTGTGAACACAAACATCTGTGGTTTTAAAGGCTTCTGTATTCATTGTTTAATTGGGATTACGCACAGTAGCAGCAACAGCAGCAGCAGCATCGCCACCCCCGACTGTGAAACTACGGCACACTGTGTCAGCGCCTTCCTCCGCGATGCCCGTGCGCTATCAGAATTCGACAAATGCGAGTTGTACTAAATTGTCATTATAGATTATTGAGAGGGGAGGGAGAGGGAGGGGAGGGAGAGGGAGGGGAGGAGAGGGAGGGGAGGGAGGGGAGGAGGGAGGAGAGGGAGGGGAGGGAGGGAGGAGAGGAGGGGAGGGAGGGGAGGAGGGAGGAGAGGGAGGGGAGGGAGGGGAGGAGAGGGATAGGAGGGGAGGGAGGGGAGGAGAGGGAGGGGAGGGAGGGGAGAGGAGGGAGGAGAGGGAGGGGAGGGAGGGGAGGAGGGGATAGGAGGGGAGGGAGGGGAGGAGAGGGAGGAGAGGGAGGGGAGGGAGGGGAGGAAAGGGAGGGGAGGAGGGAGGAGAGGGAGGGGAGGTTGGGGAGGGTGGGAGCGGAGGTTGGGGAGGGTGGGAAGGGAGGGGAGAGAGAGGGGAGGAGAGGGAGGGGAGGGAAGGAGAGGGGAGGAGGGAGGTGAGGGAGGGGAGGGAGAGGAGGGTGGGGAGGGGGGGAGAGGCGAGGGAGGGGAGGGAAGGGGAGGGAGAAGGAAGGGGGGGGAGAGGGAAGAGAAGGGAGAGGGGAGGGGGGGATAGGGGAGGGGGGAGAGCGGAGGGAGAGGAGAGGGAGGGAGGGAGGGGAGGGAGGAAGAGGGGAGAAGGAAGGGGGGGGGAAGACAGGGGAGGAGAGAGAGGAGAGGTAGGGATGGAGAGTCTCTCACGGCGTCTTTCCCGTAGCTGATGAGAGTGCGGCGCTCGTGCACGATGGCGAGCGCCAGCACGGGCGCGGCGTGGCCCTGCAGCCTGACGACGGCGCGCGACGTCACGTACCGGTTCCACACGTGCACCAGGCAGTCGGCGCCCGCCGCCGCCACCAGCGTCAGCTCGCGGCTGTAGTCGAAGCACTGGCAACCCTGCGCACCGCGAGACCGGAACGGTGGAGGGCGGCGGCTTCGGGGTGAGCCTTCGTCAATTGTCTCCGGAGCATGAACCCTCGTCACGACTCCGCTCATCCACGCAGCAGCAGCAGCGGTAGCAGCGGCAGCAGCGGCAACAAGCTTTTTGGCTGCTCGCCATCGAACGGCGGTCACTGCCATCGCGCGCTTGGAGATGCGCTTCTGCGGCCGTCTGGAACGCTCTTCCTTCCGATATTAGGAAGCCACTGGAGCTACGCACTTTTAAATCATCGAGGTTGAAAACTAATTTCTTTATAACTGCTTGTGGTGCTTGGTTTATTCTCTTTCCCCCGCACCTCCGATTAGCACGGTTGGCCACGTACGGTGCGAAAAAAGTTCCACATACATCCAGCAGTGGACAGATCACGTATGATGATGATGATGACGACGACCGAATCGTGATTTTTTTTGTGCTCGGTTCGCATGTTGGTGTCTTTGTCTTTCTAGGTAAGCCCCCCCCCCTCCAGACCACGCTCACTCCCCACACTCAGTGTCTGTGTGTCCGTGGTGACCCCCCCCCCCCCCCCACCTTGCTCATGCTCCACACGTACGGCTTCCGCCACCCGGCCACGTCGCGCACCACCAGAGAGGTGCGGAGCGCTCTCGCAGCACGAGAACAGCAGGCCGCCACGGTCATCTTCTCCACCCTCTCTTCCTCCTCCTCCTCCCTCGGCCACGAAGCGGATCGCGCGCACCGGACCCTCGTGAACCCCGGGGATCACGCGCAGCTTCAGCAGCCGCGCGTGGTCGCCCAGGTCCTGCAACGCGGACAGCGCGGCGCGCCGGGGTCACTCGCGGGGTCACCGTGGGGTCACCGCGGGGTCACTCGCGTGGTCACTCGCGGGGTCACCGCGGGGTCGGGGTCGCAGCCTGGCCCCCGCGTCGTCACCACACTTTCACCGTCGTCACCAGACTCTCACCGTCGTTACCACGGTTCAATCGGTTCAAATTGACACCCTTCGTGGGTTCGGTTCCAGTTTATAGATGGGGGGGGGGGGGGGGGAGAAAACCGCCGCTTTAACCGGTTCAGTTTACACAATCGTGCCCAGGAACATGTGTCCTGGTCAGGGGCGTGTTGTTTGCGTGTGGGGAGCGGTGGCGCAGCGGTTAGCGCACCGCTCTACGAACCCGGTGGCCCGAGTTCGGTTCCCGCTCGCGGCCAACACCAGTTGACGAAAAACATCCGAACCGGTCCCGGGCCTCCCCTTAGGTCGACTCAGCCTTAACCGACTTACCTGACGGGGGTGTGTAAACATTGGCATTGGAGAGACAAAGGCCGCGTCCGTACGCGGCTTGGACCACCCCCAGCTCCCCACGTCGCGTGCCGTGCCGGCTACTCGTGCCCGGGCGGGGGGGCACATCCGTGTCTTCTTCCGTGGCCGTGTCACCTGCATGAAGATCCGACGGACGCCCTCCTCGCGGCTGAAGGGCTTCTCAAAGAGGCCCGCGTGGGGCTGCAGGATGGTGAGCAGGTTCACTGCGCCGGAGTCGTCTCCCCACAGGAGAACAGAGGGGCTCCCTGGGGCCTGGGGCCCGCGCACAAACGAAAGACAAAGACACCAACATGCGAAGCGAGCACACAACAACAATAATAATAATAGTTAAATTTGTAACGCGCGCAAATTTGCAGACGTAGTGGCCGCAACTCGGAGGCGCGGAGCCAAGCTCAGAGTCGCTCGAAAGCATGATTTTGTTGCTGATTGGCCGTGTCGGGTGGTGGAGGGTTACGACACATTTATAATAACCGATCTAACCCAAAAACGTTCATTATGAAGAGTGTTTACGTTTGTTCATGATAACACGGGAACGGGCATTATCCACAGCGACTGCTCACCTTCTCATTGAACGAGTAATGCATGCAGGTCGGCACGTTGTTCAGGGCTGCGAAGCAAGCACGAGGCACGCGTTAGTACCGCGTCTACGACCAACAGCACGGGAGTGTACGATGTGCGTAGCCTTGAGCGTGTATGCGCCCCTGTAGAATTTATTTCGCGCCGTACGTAGCCGACCGTGTTAAACGGAGGTGCGGAGGAAGTACAACAAACTAAACACACACAAAGCTGCTCTAAAGAAATAAGTTTGTCCATCGAGATGATTTAAAAGTGCATAGCCCCGGTGGCTTCCTAACATCAGAAGGAAGCATATTCTTAGGTTTTTTTCGGTAAAGTCACGTAGGTAAAAACATTAAAAAGTTAAATAAAATAAAAATCACGACGTTTCGGAGGCAACACAAGCTTCCGTCTTCAGGTGGTACCGTCACAGCCACGACAGCTGTATCAAGTAAATGAGAGATTGCAGGAGCTACCACTCCGTTTATATAATCTAGAATCAGAAGGAAGAGCGTTCCAGACGGCCACAGAAGGGCATCTGTAAGCGCGCGATGCGGTGACCACCGCCTTTGTTCGATGGCTAGAAGCCAAAATCCGCTGTTGCGAGGATGACCGGAGTTTGCGTGATGGTTTATGCTCATTGACAAGATCAGAAAGGTGACCGTGGTTCATTTGCGGCAAGCACTTTGTGCGTGACGAGTGCGACCTCCATAATGTATTCGTTCGCATCGCACACAAAATATTTTTAAAAAAGTTTCCACCTGGAAAATTCCGTTGAGGTGTTCAAGGTGTCGGTTGACACGTAGCTAACACGTAACGACAAGGAAACAAACATTTAAAACTAAACTATTTTATTTCCCAGGTGAATCCCCACTGAGCTGTTAACTCTTTTGCAGAGGTCACCTGGCCACAAGTGATAGCTTATCGAAGTGGCTGATATCATCATAATCACCATCACACGTGGAAATCTATAGTAGCAGCCAAATAATTATCAAATAATCTAAACGGGGCAAAACGGGAGAAAGAACCCGGAGAAAAATCCACGCCGTGACCACCACGGGGAGAGAGAGAAATCACTCCAGATGTCCGACAACAGGCATTGTCAGGGTCCGGGATCGAACCCACGTCTTTCCTCGTACCAAGCGCGGGAGATAACGTCTCATCGCGACCTGGTGGTATTGTCACTCAGGAGAGCGTGACCCATAAACGCGTCGTCTCAATTGTCACGGGGCAGCCACACGGACACTCAGTGCTCGTGCTGCAAGATTGACCTGACGATCCAAGCGGATGGTGCCGTTTGTTGCTGGCCGCATAACGTCTTGGACCTCCGGACAATCGTGTTCAAGAAATAAATTGTCTCTCCGCGTAAAAAAAGTAACGGCGTTCTTTGTTTTTTACTCACTACCGGACACCAGATTTCAATGTGACCTCATATTTGGCGCACACCCCAATGTCTTCCCGCATCCGCCTCCCCAGGCCTCTGGCGCCACCTGGGGCCTCGGTATTTAAACTTTGCCAACGCCGAGCGCCGCCGGTTGGGTGCCACCGCCGGTGCTGCTTCTGCTGCTGCCGTGGGCTGGCGGTGGTGGAGGTTACCGTACGACCACCCGTGACCTACTGGACGTCCGTGAAATGGAGCTTCGTAGCTCATCGGCTTTCTCCAGCACGAATATTCCGCATTCCGTACCGAAGAGCTGGAACTCCTGCGTGAAGTTGGGCGTGGAGACGTCGTAGAAGCGGATGTCGCGGCTCGTCGTGCTCACGGCGATCTTGTGGACGTCGGGCAGCACCACGGCGTCCGTGCTCCACGTGCGGAAGCGCCGCTTGCCCCCGCGCGGGTCCTCCACCTCCTCCTGCCGCCGCCACCGCCACCACCCGTGCGTCCGCTCGTTACGCCCGCCGGGCACCCCAGCCGACCCGCTCCGCTCGACCGATCGTCGCTCGACCGATCGTCGCTCGACCGATCGTCGCTCGACCGATCGTCGCTCGAACGATCGTCGCTCGACCGATCGTCGCTCGAACGATCGTCGCTCGACCGATCGTCGCTCGACCGATCGTCGCTCGACCGATCGTCGCTCGACCGATCGTTGCTCGACCGCTCGTCGCTCGACCGCTCGTCGCTCGACCGATCGTCGCTCGACCGATCGTCGCTCGACCGATCGTCGCTCGACCGCTCGTCGCTCGACCGATCGTCGCTCGACCGATCGTCGCTCGACCGATCGTCGCTCGACCGATCGTCGCTCGACCGATCGTCGCTCGAACGATCGTCGCTCGACCGATCGTCGCTCGAACGATCGTCGCTCGACCGATCGTCGCTCGACCGATCGTCGCTCGACCGATCGTCGCTCGACCAATCGTCGCTCGACCGATCGTCGCTCGACCGCTCGTCGCTCGACCGCTCGTCGCTCGACCGATCGTCGCTCGACCGATCGTCGCTCGACCGATCGTCGCTCGACCGCTCGTCGCTCGACCGATCGTCGCTCGACCGATCGTCGCTCGACCGATCGTCGCTCGACCTATCGTCGCTCGACCGATCGTCGCTCGACCGATCGTCGCTCGACCGATCGTCGCTCGACTGCTCGTCGCTCGACCGCTCGTCGCTCGACCGATCGTCGCTCGACCGATCGTCGCTCGACCGATCGTCGCTCGACCGCTCGTCGCTCGACCGATCGTCGCTCGACCAATCGTCGCTTGACCGATCGTCGCTCGACTGATCGTCGCTCGACCTATCGTCGCTCGACCGATTGTCGCTCGACCGATCGTCGCTCGACCGATCGTCCGCTCGACCGATCGTCACTCGACCAATCGTCGCTCGACCGATCGTCGCTCGACCTATCGTCGCTCGACCTATCGTCGCTCGACCTATCGTCGCTCGACCTATCGTCGCTCGACCGGTCGTCGCTCGACCGATCGTCGCTCGACCTATCGTCGCTCGACCGATCGTCGCTCGACCGATCGTCGCTCGACCGATCGTCGCTCGACCGATCGTCGCTCGACCGATCGTCGCTCGACCTATCGTCGCTCGACCGGTCGTCGCTCGACCGATCGTCGCTCGACCTATCGTCGCTCGACCGATCGTCCGCTCGACCGATCGTCGCTCGACCGATCGTCGCTCGACCGATCGTCGCTCGACCGATCGTCGCTCGACCGCTCGTCGCTCGACCGATCGTCGTTCGGTAACGACGAGAGTGAGGTCGTGGTGAACGTCAACGGGCGGTCTCCCGTTGACGACGGTTCACATGCGCGACGTTTGTGTAAAGTTGGCCCCTATTCGCGACGCGTCTTCCGACACGACTCCGGACACATTTGAACAGAGTGGGTCTGGTTTCCGGCGTGACCTGGCGTGGAGATTTGTAAACATTTTACGCGTTGTGAATTATATCGCTAACCCTTTCCCATTCCGATGACGCACGTTATCGGAACGTAATCAGTAGGAAAAAAATTAAATAACTTTATCGGTACGTCTTCCGACTTGAAGATGTACCTAGGCTCCCACGTGGGTGTGTGGGAGGGTGTGTGGCACACGATGAAAAAATGAGAATAGGTTTTACCCTTTGTCGCAATAAAACAGGACGTGTTGAGATGTTCAAACACCAAATAGAAACCTTTTGCAAGGAATCAAGTTCGCATTAACCACACGTACTTGTGATGAACATGTGAACAAACAGGCTCTGATCATTTGATATACGCGCATTGTAGCACAGTTTGGCGCCAGCTATCGTAGAGCGCGATCGTGTCGCGACGGTTCTCTGCGGCGAGTGCGATGCCTTTAAAAACAACGGCGCTATGCGTCTCTAAATATAATTGACTCGCGCGTTCCGAGATCCAGCGGAGTGAACGGGACACCCACCCTGCAACTTGCAGGCACCTCGCGACGAGAAAAGGGTGAATATCATCATGAGTATCGCGTGGCGAATTCATCCCAGCGACGATCAGCGGCGGCAGGAGGGAGGGAGCAGCAGGAGGGAGCAGCAGGAGGGAGGGAGCAGGAGGGAGCAGCAACAGGAGGGAGAGAGCAGCAGGAGGGATGGAGGGAGGGAGCAGGAGTGAGGGAGCAGCAGGAGTGAGGGAGCAGCAGGAGGGATTGAGGGAGCAGGAGGGAGGGAGCAGCAGCAGGAGTGAGGGAGCAGGAGGGAGGGAGGGAGGGCTCCTCACCTGGAAGGAGCGCTGCAGGCGGAGGTGGCGGTCCCACACGGTCAGGACGCCCTCCTTGCTCACGGACACGAAGCGCAGCGGCGCCGGCGAGTCGAGCGCCAGCAGCCGCGTGCACACCTCTTGCTGCGTCGTCGCACGGCCACACAGAGACAGAGATCCCCCCCCCCCGTCAGTGACGTGGGGTGAGGGCAATGGCTGGGAAGGCACTGGCTCGTGTCAGAGCCAGATTCACACACTGAGGGGGGCGTGGCCTCACGGAGGGGGCGTGTTAGACACGTCCCCCTCAGTGAGGCAGATGTGATAGCTGCCTCCCCTGGTGCTTTTTCATTGCAGTTTCATTACGAGACCATCGAGCAGGGGAGGGGAGGGGAAAGGGGCGGGGGAGGGAGGAGGAACGGGCAAATGAGGAAGGAGGAGTAGAGGGGCAGGTGGGAGGAGGGAGGGGGGGGCGGAGGAGGGAGGAGGAGGATGGGGGAGGAGGAGGGAGGAGGAGGGGGAGGGGGGGGGCGGAGGAGGAGGAGGAGGATGGCGAAGTGGAGGAGGGAGGAGGAGGGGGGAGGGGGGGGGCGGAGGAGGGAGAAGGACGGAGGAGGAGGGGGAGGAGGGGGAGGAGGAGGGGGTAGGAAGAGGGAGAAGGGAGGAGGAGGGAGGAAGAGGGGGGGCGGAGGAGGGAGGAGGAGGAGGGAGGAGGGGGGGCGAATGAGGGAGGAGGGGGGAGGAGGAGGGAGGAGGAGGAGGGAGGAGGGAGGAGGAGGAGAGGGAAGAGGAGGGAGGAGGGAGGGGGGACAGAGGAGGGGGGAGGATGGGGGGGCGGAGGAGGGAGGAGGAGGAGGGAGGAGGAGGAGGCGCGCACCTTGTTGTGGGTGCAGTGGCGGATGACGAGCGCCAGGGGCGGGAATGGCGCCTCGTGTCGCGCGCGCGCGAAGTCGCGCTCGCGGTACTGCATGAGCATGTAGGCGCAGAAGTCGCCCCAGTCCACGTAGCCGCCGCCCGACGCGTCCACCTGCCCGCCCGGCACACGAGGTCACACGGAGCCCCCCAGCCGAGACCCCAGCCCCCCACCCACCCCGCCCCCCCCCCCCCCCGTGTCGCCTCTTAGGGGCCGTCCATAAATGAGGTCACGCGATTTTGGACGATTTTTTACCCCCCCCCCCCCCCCATCGTCACACGAAAAGTCAGACCTCCCCCCTCAAATATGACGTCACAAAGCTCTGCCCCCCCCCCCCCGCCAAAAAAAACATGCTTCAAATCGATTTAAACTATTGTCATTGTAGTGCGTATTTAATGTGGCGCTTGTAGGAGAAACATTTATAAAAAGTCTATTTTATTAAGTAGAACGTGTTGTCTATATTTATTTAAAGTTGCGCATTTTGATGTGACGTCACATTTATCACCCCCCCCCCCCCTCGTCACACATCGTTACAAATGTCTGACCCCCCCCCCCCCAAGGTGCGTGACGTCATTTATGGACGGCCCCACAGCCGAGTCGCTTCCGAACAAGAGCTCGGTAAAATAAGTATTTTAAAAAAAATTGTTTAAGAGGCGGCGTGGTAGAAGAGGGGGGGGGGGGGTGTGGAAGGGAGCGCGTCTGTCGCCCACCTTGTCGAAGAGTCCGTCCATCTGCTCGCCCCACCGGTCGGAGCCGAGCAACTCCCGCAGGCTCTGGCGGAACTCGGCGCGGTTCATGGCACCGGCGGGTCGCGAGGACGTCCGCCGCCTGCGCCGCTCCCTTCCCTGTGGGGGCCGCCGACGACGACGACGACGACGATGTCGCGATGTCGTTATTCGTCACGGTCACGGTTACGGTGTGAAACATTTTTGTGCAAAAAAAAATGCGTTACAAAAAAAATTTGTAAAAAAAACTTCCGCGACGAATCGTCTATTTTTTGTTCACAAAAATGTTCGGCCAAGTAATGAGCTGCGACACGAATGATGCGCGTCGTAAGACCCTCCACCACACGACGTGCGCGAGCAAGTTTAACGCGGCAATTAACATTGACTCAGCTCGCCGGCACGTTCGAGAACATTTCTCGCGATGAAATTCAGAGGTTCGCCATGGGACGTTCAGCAACTGCGCCAAAGCATTTTCTGGGCAAAATCCAGGAAATGCAATCCAGCGCCAGATGCGGCCACATAATTTACACGGCCGAACCCAAAATCAATTACGCATCGAAATACTGCCCGCGACTCGTCGAGGCTTTCCTGGGTGAACAAGCGTAACAATAAGAAGAAGAATTAAGCGCTGGCAGAAACTCGACTTCCCTGTGTCCCCGTTGAGGCGCCTTCTGCCTCCGCCGCGTCGTCATCATCCTCGTCCTCCGAGTGGCGTGACGAGCGGTGGCTGGAGAACGTGGCTTGCAGCTGCTGCAGATCCGACAGGCGGATTTGCTCCTCCAGGCGGCCGCTCTGCTCGTGGTCGAAACTTAAGGGGTACGGCAGGACGGGCGAGGACAAGGAAGCGAAGTCGGTTCGATCATACCACGCAGTGCCACGTGGCCCTCACAATGTTGCACAGGTGATGCCACGCAGTGCCCCGTGGCTCTGAACACATTCCTGCGGAGGGAGCTGGTAGGAACGCTGGGTTGCTCGGTCAATGGCCAGGGTCAACGGCGGCGTGGTGTATTCCGCAAATATGCCCGACTGAGGGCGGGCACAAGCCGGCGTGAGTAGGTTAAACGTTGAGTTTTATAAGGGCACCACGGGGTGACCAGCCCCTCCGCACCCAGCCCCACCCCTCCCACCCCCCACCCAGCCCCACCCTCCCCACCCAGCTTCTCCCCACCCAGCCCCTCTCCACCCTCCCCACCCAGCCCCTCCCCACCCTCCCCTCCCCACCCAGCACCACCCCTCCCACCCAGCCCCACACTCCCCACCCAGCCCCTCCCCACCCAGCCCCTCCCCACCCTCCCCTCCCCACCCAGCCCCTCCCCACCCTCCCCTCCCCACCCAGCCCCTCCCCACCCTCCCCACCTAGCCCCTCCCTGCACGACGGACGGACACAATAATCCCCTGTGGGCTGGTGTAACCAGGAGGTTCCTACCAGTACAATATTACACAGGTGATGCCACGAAGTGCCCCGTGGCTCTCACAATGTTACACAGGTGACACTACACAATGCCCCGTGGTTCTCACAATGTTGCACCGGTGATGCCACACAGCAGTGAGGTGACATCTCGAGGTGACTGCCGGGCACCCAGCAAGAGGGGCTACGGGGGCGATGGCTTTTTCCTTCGTGTCTCTTGGCACCAGTTGCTAAAACACACGTGTCCACTTGCAGCAGCAGCAGCATCGCGTTTCTCCCATTAGCCCGACTCCGTCTCTCGTCTTACCAAAACAGCAGCATCATTACCGCCATTCACTGCCGTTGCCAAAATTCGAGATCACATACCCCGCATCAAATATTTACGCCACAAACGGTACAACGCTCGTATAGCTCTTCCGTCACTGTTCCCGTGAGCCTCGCTCGTTGATTCCTCTACTCGTGTTTCAGGAATCGGCTCTACCGGACTGGTCGTGTCGATTTTTTTTCTCCGGGTTTCCCCTCCTCCACATTGAGAAACAAGCGTCTAGATTAGTTCGATTATTTTTTTCTGCTATAAATTTCCACGTGATAAGCCACTTTGTTGAGCTATCGTTTGTGGCAAGATCGCTTCTGAAAAAAAACAAGCTTTTAGCTCAGTGGGCCTTTCCTGGTAAAAACAAATTGATTCGTGTATATTTTTAAGTTATTCGTTTACCGGTTCTATACTTTGCACTCCTGTTTTTGTAACGTTTGTTGTCGTAACGTTCTGACCCCGTGCCCCTACTGGACATCTGTGCAAAATAAAAATAAAAGATCTTTATAGCTCATCGGATTCCCCCTGCAGTCGAAATATTCTGAGTCTGGTTCTTTTAAATCGCCCCCCTGAGTCAATCGGAACAGGGCTGCCTCCAACCCTGGCTCACCACCCCCTACGTGAGTTGACACAGCGAGTAAAAAGCGACTGTACCTCAAGGGGTTTGACCGTTCACACGTGGGGTACGGGGGTGGGGGAACGCGTGCGTCAAGCTGGCAACGTGGACATTATACGGGGCTTCGAGTTGTACTCAGTGGGAGACGCTAAGAGGATATAACACAGAGCAGAGAGGAGGAGGGGGGGGAAGTAGCACTTGACAGAGGAGAGAGTCACAGACAGAAGCAGAGGACGATCTTGAGCTTGCACTTGACCGGTTGAATGGGGTGAGAGAGAAAATGGAGGGCAGCATAGGAGAAGGAGCGACCTCCCCCCCCCCCCCCGTGCCTCCCAATGATCTTGTTTGGGTGCTTCAGCAGAAGGTCGAGGCTGCTGGAGTGAAGGGCACGTGGAGTGGCGGAGAGTGACTGCTCGTATCGCCTGGGTGGCGCAGTGGTAACACTTGTAGCCTGCAGCCAGAAGGCCCCACTCGGGCTCACAGTTCTGCATGGTTTTCTCCCACAGCTAAATACATACAATACACCTGTACACCCTACCTGTACATATTACCTGTACACCCTACCTGTGTATCCCGTGCAATGTGATCAGCCACACTTAAGCGGTTGCGCTTTCGCTACGTTGTCCCCACCCGAAGACGGACGCTTGTGTTGCGCCCGAAACGTCGTGGTTTAATTGAGTTGTTTTCATTTTTAATTTATTTATTTTACCTACGTGACTTTACCGAAAAAAACAAAGAGAATGTGATCGGCGTTGACCACAACATCCCCAGTGCCGAAGAATCACTTGCACGTGACACCGATTGAGACAAAGATCCCCCGTGTAGCCTTGACAGACTGTCGGGGCAATTGCTGTTAGCGAGTTGGCACCTATGAAGGCCGGCGCGGCACACGAGGAGGTGGGTGGCCAGCACCACGCCCAGCCGCCTTTGTATCCCCAGTGGCGATGTTTTTACACACCGCACCAGGTAATCATTTGAGGCTGAGTCGACCTAGGGGAGGCCCAGAACCGATTCGGATAATCCTCACTGGGTGTTGGTGGCAGTGAGCGGGAACCGAACTCGGCTCGCCGGGTTCGTAGCGCCGCGCGCTAACCGCTGCACCACCGCTCCCCTATTGCGACAAAGACAAAGATCCCCCGTATAGCCCGAACAGACGGTTGGGGCAAGTGCTGTTAGCGACCATACACAACAACAGCAGCAGCAGCAGCAACGTCGCGCTGCGAATGCTTGTCAGGACCCTCCCGAGAAAGAGTCGTGACGCTTTCCTGGGTGAACACACGTGGTAGCTATAATCATCTAATAATAATTAAAATATCTCCTCGAGCAGCGCTCTTCACTCATCTTCACAGGAGAGGGGTCACGATCGCCGACAAGAAGACACCGTCAAGTGTTGAGGGCCCGCCACACATCTGAACCCATTGGGGCTTTGACAGCCATGATCGATGGGGGGGGGGGGGGTTGTTTCCTACTTGTTGTGTATTGTCGGTGGGGGCCCGCACGCGCCAGGGGCCGCACTGAAGACCACCCAGAGGCCGTCAGGGGCCGTCAGGGGCCGTGAGGGGCACCCCGCGGTGGCCTTGCGACGAAGAACACCGTGAAACTTTGATATTTGCTCAAGAAGCATTGAGTGCGGTGTGGGTGGGTGGGTGGGGGGTGGATGGGTGGGTGGGTAGGGTGAGTGGGGTGTGGATGGGTGGGTGGGGTGTGGGTGGGTGAACGTGGTGTGGGTGGGTGGGTGAGTGTGGTGTGGGTGAGTGTGGGGTGTGGAGTGGGTGAGTGTGGTGTGGGTGGGTGTGGAGTGGGTGAGTGGGGTGTGGGTGGGGTGTGGGTGGGTGGGTGAGTGGGGTGGAGGGTGGGTGAGTGGGGTGTGGGTGGGTGGGTAGGGTCTGGGTGGGTGAGTGAACGCGGTGTGGGTGGGTGGGTGAGCGGGGTGTGGGTGGGTGGGTAGGGTGTGAATGGGTGGGTGGGGTGTGGGTGGGTGAACGTGGTGTGGGTGGGTGGGTGAGTGGGGTGTGGGTGGGTGGGTGAACGTGGTGTGAGTGGGTGAGTGAACGTGGTGTGGGTGGGTGGGTGAACGTGGTGTGGGTGGGTGGGTGAACGTGGTGTGGGTGAGTGGGGTGTGGATGGGTGGGTGAACGTGGTGTGGGTGGGTGGATGAACGTGGTGTGGGTGGGTGGGTGAACGTCGTGTGGGTGGGTGGGTGAACATGGTGTGGGTGGCTGGGTGGGTGAACGTGGTGTTTGAGCGCGGGGTGGGTGGGTGGGTGAGCGCGGTGTGGGTGGGTGGGTGAACGTGGTGTGGGTGGGTGGGTGAGCGCGGTGTGGGTGGGTGGGTGAGCGCGGTGTGGGTGGGTGGGTGAACGTGGTGTGGGTGGGTGGGTGAGCGCGGTGTGGGTGGGTGGGTGGGTGAGTGGGGTGTGGGTGTGTGAACGTGGTGTGGATGGGTGGGTGAGTGGGGTGGGTGAGCCGTGGCTGCCACTCACCCCGTGGGCTGAGAGTCACTCTCGCTGGTGGATGCCTGCGGGTCCCTGTCACGCCGAGACGACGCGGGGTCGTGCCCAGGGCCCCGTCGCTGCGACACGGAGCCCGTGGCCCCAGAGGCGGCTCCCCGCTCGGCCGTGTCGCTCTCGCGATGGCCTCCGACATAAACCATGCCCCCTTCCCCTCCAGCCCTCCTCCTCCTCCTTCCCTGGACTCACACGGGGGCTGCTCGGCGTGAGTGTGGTGGTGCCACTACCGCCACACGCAGCTCTGTTGTAGCTTTTTTTAAATTGATTTACGGTCTTGCCCACGATGTCCAAATATGGGGGGGGGGGGGTGTTGAGAGGAGAGAGAAAATGATGACAGCAGTCGATATTGATGCGGGGACCTCTTTGCGAGCGCGGTAGATGACCGCTGCAAAGTTGTGTTGTTGCAAAAGGAGTGCGATCAAGGGCTCAGTTAACTGCGGTTGTTGTACCAAGCAGCAGCAGCAACGACAACAACGACAACAACAAACAACAACGCCACGTGCTCGACTCGCACGAGCGAGCGTACGAACGGGCGGCGTGCGGGTGGCCAGCGCCACGCTCCGTCTCACACTTTAAATATCCTTCTTCTCCCACCAGTCCTCCTCCTTGTTGTTTGTGTTGTCTATGTTGTTGCGATGGGGGGAGGCTGTATTCTCTCTCGCTCTCTCGTCGGCTCAACAGCCACTCGGTAAACGCAACTCGGTGTACGCGCGCGCGTGTGTGAGTGTGTGTGGAGGAGGCTCATAGGTGCTGCCCGCTAACGGCACTTGCCCCAACAGTCTGTCACAGGCTACACGGGGGATCTTTGTCTTTGTGCTGCTCGCCAACGGCACTTGCCCCAACAGCCTGTCACAGGCTACACGGGGGATCTTTGTCTTTGTGGTGCTCGATAACAGCACTTGCCCCAACAGCCTGTTACAGGCTACACGGGGGATCTTTGTCTTTGTGCTGCTCGATAACAGCACTTGCCCCAACAGCCTGTTACAGGCTACACGGGGGATCTTTGTCTTTGTGGTGCTCGATAACAGCACTTGCCCCAACAGCCTGTTACAGGCTACACGGGGGATCTTTGTCTTTGTGCTGCTCGATAACAGCACTTGCCCCAACAGTCTGTCACAGGCTACACGGGGGATCTTTGTCTTTGTGCTGCTCGCTAACGGCACTTGCCCCAACAGTCTGTTACAGGCTACACGGGGGATCTTTGTCTTTGTGGAACTCGCTAACAGCACTTGCCCCAACAACCTGTTACAGGCTACACGGGGGATCTTTGTCTTTGTGCAACTCGCTAACAGCACTTGCCCCAACAACCTGTTACAGGCTACACGGGGGATCTTTGTCTTTGTGCTGCTCGATAACAGCACTTGCCCCAACAGTCTGTCACAGGCTACACGGGGGATCTTTGTCTTTGTGCTACTCGCTAACAGCACTTGCCCCAACAGCCTGTTACAGGCTATACGGGGGATCTTTGTCTTTGTGCTGCTCGCTAACGGCACTTGCCCCAACAGTCTGTTACAGGCTACACGGGGGATCTTTGTCTTTGTGGAACTCGCTAACAGCACTTGCCCCAACAACCTGTTACAGGCTACACGGGGGATCTTTGTTTTTGTGCTACTCGCTAACGGCACTTGCCCCAACAGCCTGTTACAGGCTACACGGGGGATATTTTTCTTTGTGCTGCTCGCTAACTGCACTTGTCCCAATAGCTTGTTACAGGCTACACGGAGGATCTTTGTCTTTGGAGTATTGCTAAGAGAATTTTCTTGAGAGGGTCATGGTCACGAGACCACTTCACAGCTTCTCAGCATCACCCCACCCCCACCCCCGCATTCGGAAACCACTGCAGGCAGTCGCGTGACCGGCGTGGTGAAGTATGGTTACCATTAGGGTAACCAGCGTGGTGAAGTAGTGTGACCAGCGTGGTGAAGTATGGTTACCAGTAGGGTGACCAGCGTGGTGAAGTATGGTTACGTGTAGTGTAACCAGCGTGGTGAAGTATGGTTACCAGTAGGGTGACCAGCGTGGTGAAGTATGGTTACCATTAGATGACCAGCGTGGTGAAGTATGGTTACCATTAGATGACCAGCGTGGTGAAGTATGGTTACCAGTAGGGTGACCAGCGTGGTGAAGTGTGGTTACCATTAGATGACCAGCGTGGTGAAGTATGGTTACCAGTAGGGTGACCAGCGTGGTGAAGTATGGTTACCATTAGATGACCAGCGTGGTGAAGTATGGTTACCATTAGATGACCAGCGTGGTGAAGTATGGTTACCAGTAGGGTGACCAGCGTGGTGAAGTATGGTTACCAGTAGCGTGAGCAGCGTGGTGAAGTATGGTTACCAGTAGTGTAACCAGCGTGGTGAAGTATGGTTACCATTAGATGACCAGCGTGGTGAAGTGTGGTTACCATTAGATGACCAGCGTGGTGAAGTATGGTTACCAGTAGGGTGACCAGCGTGGTGAAGTATGGTTACCAGTAGCGTGAGCAGCGTGGTGAAGTATGGTTACCAGTAGTGTGACCAGCGTGGTGAAGTATGGTTACCAGTAGTGTAACCAGCGTGGTGAAATATGGTTACCATTAGATGACCAGCGTGGTGAAGTATGGTTACCAGTAGTGTAACCAGCGTGGTGAAGTATGGTTACCAGTAGTGTGACCAGCGTGGTGAAGTATGGTTACCAGTAGTGTAACCAGCGTGGTGAAGTATAGTTACCATTAGATGACCAGCGTGGTGAAGTATGGTTAACACTCTTCATGGTTAGTACGAGTTTCTCTGAACATAAATAACCCAAACGGCAATGGATAACCATAGTAATTTTTCTACATTCTATGATACCCCCCCAATTCGCACAAGGAGAGCCCACACGGGAATGACACAAGAGGATTTCTCCACAAATCTGGCTGTCGCCTGATGAAGCTGGTTGTAATTACTGGCGAAACGTCGTACTCAGATTGTAAATGTGGTGGCTTGGCTCTCCAACACACCGGTTAGTGCTGTACTAGTACACTACACTATACACTACACTATACACTACACAATACACTACACTACTATACACTACACTATACACTACACTATACACTACACTACTTTATACTATACTACTATACACTACACTACTATACACTACACTACTATACACAGCACTATACACTACACAATACACTACTATACACTACACACTAGTGCTGTACTAGTGACGAATTGGCCACGTTCTGTTTACGTGACAACCCTTACTAGTTGGCTGTGTCGGGTGGTAGCGGGTTTAACGACACATTTAGATATTTACGCGATCTAACAAAACAAAACTCTATTACGGATGCTATTATACTGTAGGCGTGTGCTCCACACTCCTCCCTACATTTCACCCAATGGTGAAACACCTCCAATAACCCAACAGGCTCACAGCGTAAAACAAACCAAAGATGTCACGCAATCGATACGCAGCTATGAGACAGAGGCATCCCCCCCCCCCATCCACGTTCTCAGCAACACCGCTAGCCGTTTTTGTCAAGCGAGACAATCACGACACAGAAAATCCCGCTGTGCCCTTTGAGAAAAAATCAGGCGTCCGTTGTGCAGCTGCCATTGACTGCTCTGTCGGCTGCCTGCAGGCCCCTTGCCACGGTGGGTTGGTGTTCTACCGCGGACGGCCGATGACCCCAGCTGCCCCTGGTCGCCCAGACTTGCCCTGCAAGGCACCCCACAACTCGCGTGAGCCGTCTGGGTCTCCTCGCCGATTGGCTTCGTTGGCTCCACCGGCGCCCTCTGCGTGACGAGCGGCTAAGCGAATGATGCCGTCACTTCGAGAAGCTTCCCACGTGGTCGCATTATTGATGTCTCATTGTTCAGTCCGGATATTTGGCTCATACGCGGTCTCTTAAATTCGCCTGCATTGTGGGATATCGAAACGGCCAAGGAGGGTGCTGGACCGTCGTACAAATTAGATTCGCGCCTCCGATGAGCAAAGTTGGTTGGTCGGGTACGGTGCGAAAGAAGTTCAACGGACATACCAACAATTCCCCAACGCGTGCATGCGTGGAGCCAGTGGAGGAGCTATGCGTAAGCGGAGCCAAGCAAACACAAAAGGCCCCCAAGTTTCCCGGATTCATGGAAAAATAAAGGTGACGCAAAAAGGTCAGCTCTAACTCATATTCTTAAAATATAAATTATGTTTAAAAAGGCTCATGATTTTTATAAAAGTTTAAGAATCAAAGTACAGGAATTGAAATTAGTTTATCGATTACAATCACTGTACATTAATTGTAATGAAGTCTATTCGGTGGACTAAGTTAATAATGTCACGCAACTGTGATATGGTTAAATAGCCTGTCCATCCTGTCTGTAGGCAGGTGACGCACCCAACGTCACCTCTGGATAGGGCCCCCAATGGGCGGTTAGCTCCACCCAGAGGTCGCACACGGGTTTTGATTCCTTACCCGTACCCGGCCGGGTACGGGTAAGCCTGGTATCGTGTAGGGTACGGGTATCGGGTACCCGGTTGCGACCTCTGGCCCCACCACGACTGCACAATCATCCACTGCTGGATGAAGGCCTCCCCAATGAAGCCTCCGCCACCTCTCACCATTCCGCGATGTACTAATACTTGTATTATTTTATTATATTATTTTATTACGTTATTTTATTTGCTATATATTATTTTATTTTTATTTTACTTTTATTAATTTTTATTTTATTTATTTTTTTACCTACGTGACTTTACCGAAAAAAACCAAGAATACCAATAACAATCCACCTAGCCACCGGGCAGGCGCATGAATTCATATCGAATCGCTCCACCTCCTCGGCGGATGTTTTGCTTTGCCGCTGAACGTCGGCACGCACAGCCGACTCGCATGTGTGTCTGCTACTCTCTCCGGGCGTGATCACAGACGCGACTCTCAACTCGAGTTACCGGGTTACCTGCACGCGATACAATGTCTACAACACTCACACCGCACACACACACGCCGCAATAACAGCCGCCCCGTGCCGCTGTTGTGTTTGGTCTCCATTCAGCTAAACACACACCACACCACACTCCCCCCTCCTCCCCCTACTCCAAACGCCACCACGACGCAGACAACGGCACACGCGATGATTTCGCGACATTGCACCGCTGTTTGTCAGCACTGGCGGGCGTTGTAGATCGCTGATGGGTGCGTCAGTTTGTTTCGGTGCCTGGGTCTCCCCTAGGTAGGCTCAGCCTCAAAAGCTGTACTATGGTGCGGTGTGTAAACGTCGTCACTGGAGAGACAAAGGCGGCCGGGCGTGGTGCTGGCCACCCAGCCCCTCGTGTGCCGTGCTGGCCTTCGTAGGTTTTGCTACTCGCTAACAGCACTTGCCCCAACACTCTGTTAAGGCTACATGGGGGATCTTTGTCTTCATTGTGTTGTTGTATTAGGGATGTTAACCGGTAACCATATTTCAAGGTTAATAACCGGTTGCGAAAGTCAGCAGTAGCCAATCGTTGCCAGCGACATGCGAGTCATGAACACACTGATTGATACAAGCGACACGATGACGTGATGTTTATCGATTTATAAGGTAAAGGTGCAGCCCTGCAATGTCTCTCTCACGCCACTGTTGGTGGAAGAGCCTCCACGAGAGGGAGCTCCAATTCGGTATTTGGTCTACTCTTCCCCGATGGCCAGATGTC